GGTCAAGTTGAATTCAGCGATAAACCAATTAGTATCGATGAAATTTAAAATCGAATGTGAAATAAAAAAAAACGAAGTAAAATCAATTCCTGGAGGCTAGCGATGGGTACATATCATTATATCAAACCTATTATCCAACAGTCGTCAGCTATTCAGAACTATTGATGTTGACAAACGTAAAAAATGCAATAAGAAGATGAAATTAGTTTGAATATTTACTTTTTATGAATTTCGGATTTATTTCAAACTTATCGAAATTTCTATCGCTCAAATGATTAAAATTGAAATATCAATATAAAATGTGTGCTTAACTGTCTACGTGTTAACATGATGCCGTTGCATGTGTTTCTTCAATAGTAAATTCTCTGGGAAAATTTCATTACAAATTGTGCATGGGATCTTTTTGGTGAAAATACCATGGCATTTGAATTTGTGGCGCTTAAAATCGATCCCATATGCAAATCGTTGATCGCATCCATCGACAGTGCATTTGAATGGCTTCTCACCAGTGTGAGTGCGCATATGTTCGTGCCTGTTCATGGTGGTTCTGAAATATTTATCGCATCCCTCCTGTTTGCATTTATACGGTTTTTCATTAGTGTGAATGTACATGTGATTCTTAAGCATTTCGTTATTCGCTAGATATTTGCCACACACATTACACATCCGCTTTCGATCATTTGCCGGTTGAAGATGATACTTGGAATGTAGTTTGAGTGCGGTTCGATTGTTGTATTTTCTGTCGCAAATGTTGCATTTGTATTTAATTGCATCTGCACTGTGTGCCCATCGTATGTGAGCGCGCAAACCTCCATGATTTGGTGATACTTTTTGGCATAAATAGCATTCGTATACTGCATTTTTATTTCTGGATTTAGTGGCTTTAACGCACTGATTCCGTTTCGTTCTACACATCACTTGATGTTCAACCAACTGGTTCTTGGTGGCAAAAACAGTGGTGCAGATTTTACAAATATTTGTTCCTGGATCACTGTGCATCCGTAATTTGTGACGACGAAGTATATCTCCTCTCGCATAGATTTTGTCGCAAATATTACACTGATAGTCGTTTCCATTCTTATGGCGATCGTAGTGTTTATCAAGGGCAGACTTATGCATGAACGATGCTTCACACATGCTACATTTATGTATATTATTTGGATTGTGTTTGAATTTCATGTGTGAATAAAATGATGATCTCGATTTCAGTGTGCAATTGCAAATATTACATTTATGCAGTCCTCCGTTCTTTCTTGATAAACAATGGGATCGGTGCTCCGTAAATTCATCAGTAGTTTGAAATATTCGGGCGCAAATTGTACAAAAAAGCGTTCCGGGTGGACTATGAACAAGCACCTTATGTCTGGACAGGCCACTTGTCAATGTTTTACCACAAACATCACATTCAACCTGTTTTCTGGTTCTTCTCTTTTTCGTTTGCTGTGCCATACTTGGTGCTGACTGTAAATGTATTTCGGGGATTGCTTTGCTTGGCTTGACATGTGATACATTCGGAAATGGTTGTTCTGCACAAGAATCTTTTGGTTCTACAAAATTGTCTTCTGCCTTGAATGTATCACCTAAACCCATCTGCGGAACCGTTTCCACTGTATTGCTTTTGCTCAGCGATAAATGTTGTTCTTGTAATTTGTCTAATGAGTAATCAATTGTCGACTCTACTTTGATGTGTGTTACACTTTTCGGAATTGTTTCTGAAGTAATAGAATAGCGGTTGAGCTGTTCCTGGTCAGGAGCTTTATCCAAGTTTCGTCCATCCATTAAGTCATTCTGCTCATTTTCACTCAAATCCGTATCTTCTTGTTCGTTTGTCGCCTCAATATTTTCGCTGGTATGGGTTTGTGTGTGATTATTCCTGTCTAGTATGGTCATAAAATACTTTTCGCAACCTTTAAGTAAGCATTTGTAAAGGTTTTCTGTATTACTATGAAGGCTCATGTGACTCTTGAGCCCTGAATCCGTCTTCAATGACTTTCCACAAATGCTACACACAAATAGCCGATTTCTCAAGCTGTCAATATGACGTAGCTGATGTTTTTCAAGCAGACTGTTTGACAAAAAGCACAATCCGCACACGTCACATTTCACACCAAATGTGCTGTGTTTCATTCGAATGTGAGCGAGCAAGCCTCCATGGTTTGGTGATAATTTATGGCACAAGTAGCATTCGTATGATGCATTTTCACCTCTGGATTTTTTTGCTTTAACGCACTGATCCCGCTTCGTTCGACACATCGTTTGATGTTCTATCAACTCGTTTTCGCTGGTAAAAACATTGACACAAATATTGCAAACGTGTGTTCCTGGATCACTGTGCATCCGTAATTTGTGACGACGAAGTACATCGTTTCTCGCGTATATTTTGTTGCAAATATCACATTGATAGTGGGTTCTGTCTTCATGGCGATCATGGTGTTTATCAAGGGCAGACTTTTGCGTAAACGATGCTTCACAAATGTTACATTTATGCAAAGTATTTAGACTATGTATGGATTTCATATGTTTTAGAAACGATGTTCTCGTTTTTAGTATGGCATTGCAAATGCTACATTTATGTAGTCCGCGATTTTTCTTTGATGAACAATGTGAAACAATGGCTCTGTGCTCTGATAATTCACCAGTAGTTTGAAATGTTTGGACGCAAATTGGACAAAAATGCATTCCGGGTTGACTATGAGCAAGCACCTTATGTCTGTGCAGGTCACTTCTCAATATTATACCACAAATATCACATTCAAGCGGTTTTTTCATTCTTCGCTTCTTCGTTTGCTGCACAGTATTTGGTGCTGGCTGATGTTCATCTGTTTGGAGGTACTGATTATTACTCAATTCGTCGTCCTGTTCAAATAAACCACGCGCTCCGTCTGCTGGCTCATCCTTGATAATCATTTCCGCTAAAGAGATCGATTCGGAAAGTAGCATCTGGTCCTGTTCAGTCTGATAAATGTTTGCCGAAGTATTTGTAGAAATTATTTCGATTGTCGAATCTTTGATTTGTGATCCTTGTGCCTCTGGTCCTGAAATCGCATCGCTGAACAATTCACTTTCCTCTTCATGTTCATATTTCAAAGCGGGCTGAATTGGCTGATCGACAAACATCGACTCGATGTGAACTTCACAATCTCGTTTGATGCATGTGACTGCATTGTGTTGGACATAAAAAGTGCCACCGATTTGAATCAAGCTCTGATTACACTTGCCACATGATTTCCTTGAAAAATGACTCAGAATATGGTCGTCTTTTTCACTGGCACTACCGAATGTTTGCGGACAAAATAAGCATTGGTGCACTGAAAATGAAAATAATCTAGTTTAAGAAAATCATTTGGCATATTTACATTTATGAAATTGAAGCAAAAATAATCAAGCAAATAATGAAGCAATTTTTAATCATTTCAACTCATTTCGGCATTATAAAATCTTTACCTGCTGCAGAACAGATTTTCTCCAACGCTTTATTCATGATTTCCTTATAATAGAAGTTATTTATTATTTGTAGCCAAAGCAATTGAACTCAAAGTTTCATGGTATAGAAATAAAAGTGTTTACTCGAATATTTTCAGTTTTCCATCTGTCAAAGCCGCCAGTGTGTTTATTCTAAATGTCAAACTCAGTGAACGTTTACTTTGAAGCATCTATATGGTTAAAGTACACTGGTATAAAGGGGAAATGATGTCTCTATTTTTGTACGTTATTTTAGTTTTGCAAAGAAGAAGATAATCCGGCAAAAATGTTGCATAGAAAAATGACTCAATGGATTTGCATTAACATCCATTTTAGTTCTAGGATATGTGTCTCATGTTATTTATTCAAATAGAGTTTTAGACGGAATTCACTTTTTAAACATTTATACGATTCAGTTAATGAATTTTTTATATATTTAGAGTCAAAACAACGCTGACGAAAGAAGTTTTTTTCATGATTCTTTCTATCAAATTTTTTTCATCACATCAGCTTCTAGTAGAAGCCTTCTACTGATGATGAATAACTACGATGACAATAAAATCATGAAACATTCGATTCGAACCATTGTTTTGTGTATACTTAATTTTATTCGGATTTACAGCAGAACTGTACTTAAAGAGCTCTGAATCGATTTGGCGGTTCGCTTGAATGTGAACAATTAAGTACGTTCAGTGGAATAATGAAATCTCGATTTGAATCACTTTAAATTGGATGAATGTTTTATTAACGGGATTCACCCATTTCATTTGGGCAATATTTATGTTTATATCATTTTTAATGTTTTGTATCCTTTTCATTTCGAACAAAAAAAGTTTGAACAACTCATATGTGATAAAAGTTATTACTTTGTTCTGTTTATATCATGATTTTAAAATATTTATATTTTTAAAACTAAGCAATTGAGCCACAGCAACAAGTTATACGTTGTTCACTTGAAACTACAGAGTTAACGTACATAGATTAAACTCCAGAAATATCGCTATGGTGTCAACGTATCATCTGAAATTTTTTGAGATTGCAGAAGAGTCTGTGGGGAATGCTTAGTAGATATTGCAGTGGGAGGTGCAGGTGGGCAGTGCACAGAGTATTTAATCGGAGGTCTGAAATGTGAATAGTCAGTATTTCCAGAATTGTGTAGTAGTAACAAAGTCGATATATTCAGATTGAATATAAAGTTGAATGTACAGACTGAATTTAAAAGAAAATCTTCTATAGATCAAAACAAGAATTATTTTTTTCTGATACAAAAATTGAAAACTAAAACAATGAAAGTGTTGATTTTCTCACTGATAACTTTCATCTTTGTTGCGATAATTTATGCCAAACCTAAAGACGATGTTGAAGGTAAGTTGAAATATTATATCGAATAAAATGAAATGTAGTTTTTCACAATACTAAGTCAATAAATGTATTTCTTTTGTATGTAATTGTACTTTTTATTTTTAACCAAAAGATCAGTCGCTACAAGGCAGTGAAAATACTTCTCAACGAGCATTTTCGACAAGAGATCACAATTTGGAGGAAAACATAATTCTTACCTTTCTATCCAAGATAGCAGTGCTAATAGATGATGTAGTAACCAAAGAAACAAGTAAAACTCCAGTGGAAGTCAAAACATCAATGGAAGATCCCGATAAGTTGTCGTCTGATTTGAGTATCCCAAATAAGATCGAACAACGGCAATGCGAGGATGAATGTGTTTTTGAATTTTTAGTTCCATTCTGTTACGTTCTGGATATAGACGCTTATTGTCCAAATGGATTTGCCTGCTGTCTCTCGGAGGGAAGTAACATACCAACGGCTACTCCAAGACCGGTGAGATTTTTCCTTTCAATTCGACACTTTCGAAAAAGAAGGAACTTGAACAAAAAAAGTACAACAAACATTAACTCTTTCATTTTATTCAACAGACTCCAGCGCCGAAATGTGAGCACAACTCCACCGCAACAAAAATAGAGCGACCTCAGACTACGTCAACAACAGAAAAACCAATAAAAATTACTACAGTAACAGCTCAAACGATTAGGCCCACACAAAAAGTGGAAACGTCGACGAAATCTGCAACGGTCAATGAAGGTTCGATTAAAACATACGCTCAAGAATCAGCTGAAAGAATTTTATTGTTTAAATGAATTGAATCGTTCGCATTTTTTTTTTCGTAGGTGGAACATGTCCAGGCATTTGCGTTGACGATGAAATTGCTGTTGTTTGTGGATTAATAACAGATGGATTCTGCAAAACTGGTACAAAGTGCTGTGTTCCAACTCATTCTTATCCCAACGAAATTCACAACAAATTCTTTGCGGCGAAAAATAATGAATAAATGTTTTGAAATGAAATCAATCGTCTGTATTTTGTCACAATTGCAGGTTATTGAACTTGTTTTGTTTGAAGGTTGTTATGATCATTGGCTTTTGATAAATGAACCGAATTGTATGAAAATGTCAATTATCCTTACAAACAAGTAGGTTCCAATGATGAATCAGAATTACTGTAGAAGATGTCTTTTCAATTTATTTCGTTTAAATTAACCATCTTTGTTTCTACGGTTCTATTCAGAATTTTTGTGTATGATTTTTTTAAAATAAAAATACCCAAGTTTCTCGATCATCATGTTTGTTTTAATAATTCAATCAACTGTCGATAGAAATGTAAATTTTTGCAAATTGGTAACATAGATCTAAATCAAAATCAACTTAATTCAAACTCCCAACCAATTTAGTAAATATTCGGTTTCGTGTAATTTATTCATAATGACTCAGAGAATGGTTTTGTGCTCATTCCATTTCGACGTTTGTTTCGACAAATTTTGATTTGATTTCGCATAGAATGCCTTTTTATTCCGTAAAATCTGATTGATAAAATGTAAATGAGGAGCCAAAGTAGCGGTAAACGAAACCAGAATCGGTCATATCCATACTTCAGCTGGCAAAAATCAGAGTCAGTATAACGAAAGCGGTCAACCGGTGATGATCAAGTGAGAGAAGTGATCCGCATTTTTTTAACACAAAGATCTAAGAAGAAAAGTTTATTTCGAAAAAAATTTCAATTAAAAAAATGTTGTCAAAAATCAATACGACAATATTCCTGTTCGGAGTATTTTTCATACTTCAAGGATGCTACAGTCAAATTCCGGAAACGACTGTTGCTCAATATCACTACACTATCTTCAAAAGTGGGTCTAATTCATTTAATTTTCAAATGATTTTTCTTTATTTTCACCATCAAAGTTGATACAAAATTTCAAAAAATTCAAAGTTTTTTTCGACGCTGCTCTTGGCCCGGATGCAAGTGAAAACTCCAAAACGTGCCCAGGCATTTGTATGCCTTCATCAACGGCAGTTTTTTGCCCAAAGGTGCTCAACGACATGGCTTGTTCTACGCCAAATACAAAGTGTTGCGTTCGACGAAAGGAATCGGAACCAACCGATCCACAGTCAGCATATCAAATTCCAAATTACAGTTCTGCAGATATTACGAAATCGGATGATAGTAATGTGTTCAACGCTTCGGAATACCAAAATGATCCATTCTTATGTCCAGGCCATTGTGTTTTGAATTCGTTGCAATCAAAGTGTGAAAGTCCAGCTGTAATCATACCAAACACCTCGAATTGTGAAGACGACACGATCTGTTGTGATGATACAAATGTGCCAGTAACAGCAACACCAAAGCCAACTAAACGACCACGACCACGGCCAACACATGCTACAACAACACAGGCGACATTTTGGTCAGCAACTACCGATTCGAGAAAAGAGTGTCCAGGCCTTTGTATCGCTAATTTGATTCGTTTTACATGTTACGGTAAGGGAAAATTACAGTATTTCTTGAGGAATTCCGATTGAAGAAAAGAAATTTATTGAAAAATATTAAAGAATGACTACCAGCTTTGCCCTAGTTGAACTTTTCATGATATTTGTACGTGAAATTTATAATTCCATCTATTGAAAAAACCCAAAATCAATGAAAGTACAAAGTTTTTCATAGATTATCTATGGTATTTTACATGTGACACATACAGCGCCATCTATTGAAAAAAGTTGAAATAAGGCAAAATAACCCAGAAAATGGTTGTCATTCTTTTTTAGAAAAATTTTCTTACAAAAAATTGTAGAATTTTGTTATTATTTATTAAATTTACAAGCCCGTATTTTTCTATTCTCTCCTTGAAGGTAATGCCGAAATAACAGATTTATTCAAATGTAAACGACCAACAACCATATGTTGTACAAGCAAAGAATTGGTTCACGAAACGCTGGCTCAGTTGTATTTCAATCAGCCAATACCGCCACATGGCCATGAACCCTTCCTTTCACATTCATACGACACATTGCAGAAATACGAAGAGCCGGATTCAAACGAAAGCAACGATTCGGAATTGAATGAAGGCGGAGGTTTGATCATAATGCTGATATTTTCCATTTTTGTTGATGACGTTGATTTTAATTTTATTTCGACTCATCAATTGCAATCTTATTCACAATCGTAATTCATTTTAGTATATTCATGTCCTGGCGTTTGCGTTGCCAATCACTTTGCCGGATACTGTGAAGCATATTTGAGTTCAAATGATCTGTGTGAGCCCGGCTCTAGATGTTGTGTTTCTCGTGAAAATTCAGTAAAACCCGTGTCTGATACCCGCATAATCCCTAAGAAGGGCCATACTAACCATACGTTGCCAGTTGCGAATCCAGTGCAACTCATTTCGATGATTATTAGTTCGGATCGGTCAACGAGCACTGTGAAACCGGTGAGTTCAATATTAGTCATTTGTGTTGTCATCATTTGTGTTCAATCATTCTTTTTTGCACTTGTAGATAAAATCAACAGTTATCGCAGTGGAAACTGAATCGAAGGAAGACTCATCTTCGAATTCCGGTGAATCGTCACCATCGCAACTATTAATTCAAAGCTCAACCAAGGATAGTTCTACTGAGTCTTCAAACACAAAATTACTCCCAGATACGGCAGCAAACACTGCGGAGGCCGAATCAAACGAAAACTCAACATCGAAAACAGTTGAATCGAAAACTTTTCAATCTACTGGCGATACAACTCAAAGCCCAACCGAATTCAGTTCAACGGAATCCACTTCAATTGTAGCTGAAACAGAATTGAACCAAGAATCAGAGAAACCAATACTAAACGGCGTTTAATCTATTTTACACTAATTGCTTGTCTTAAATATTCAAAATTATACTTATTTATTTATTTATTACACCGTCAAATTCAAGCCCTATGCCAACTATCACTTCTTACGAAACATTCAATGGTCTTACATCAGAAAAGAAAAATTGCTATTATTCAATAAAAAAATGTGGCCAATATTTATGCTTATTTATCGATATTTACTAATCTCAGAACAAAATCAATAAATTGAATGGTGGATATTGCACAGTCGAATCCTCAAAAAGTACTTTTTTCATTGAAATGTTCCGATGTAATTGAATTGAAACTGTTAATTGCACCTTGAGTAGCACTTTCGCTTGGAAAACCGATGCGTCAACTCCAATTACACTTTCATTTTACATTCCAGCCTCAAATCAAACTGAGAAAGTAATAATTGTTATGAGAGCGGCGAAAAAAAAGTGGTGCAAATTTCTATGTGTCGTTGAAGTTTTTTTTTGCTTCAAAATTTTTTTCCATTCAAAATGGTTATTTCATGTTTGTTCAGAGGAAAAGATTAATTATTGTTTGTGTTGTTCAAATCTGTTTTTTTTTTTCTGCACACATTTTTCAATATTTAAGCCGGCGTCAAGATGTTAAAACGAAGATATAAAAATATCAGTCGCCCAGTCATGTAATCGTGGTATTATCTGAGAGAAATCCGAATTCTCGTTGTGTTGGTTAACGTGTATCAGTGGACTTGGATCTTCGGTCGGAATGATAATTAGTATTCAGTGTTGAAGCACGTTATCGTGCGTCGTATGGCTGCATGGTTGGTTCTATTCCAGAATGCATTTAACTATTCTTCGTTGCGAGTGTGTCGTCCACAATTCAATTTCTCTGTTGGTATTTTCTCATTCCGTTGCCGTTTATTCGTTGTCGCTTCGCTTTGCTTTGCATCAGCAAGTGTGTGCGCGATCTTGGAGACGTGTGATTGAGAGACTGGTTCTTTTGCATAAGTGTGCGAATGTTCATGGTAATCAAGCTGACAATATCGAAGATATACGAATAGAGAGAGAGAGAGAGAGAGAGAGAGAGAGAGAAAGAGAAAAACATGAGAAAAAAAGGGAAATGGAGAAATGGAGAAATGTTTCAATGGTCAAAACAGTGTGTTGAAGCCATGAAGAGAAGAGCTACGTACCGTAATGAATTGAATCGACAACTTTGGACTTCAAGCGAACCACATCGATGGAATAAGAGTTAGTGCGGTAAGAACTTTCTAGTGGTGATGATCGAGTGAATAATCGATGCGCGATCCAATTTTACGCAAAAAATATTTTATTTGTTTTTTTTTTCTTCGGGGTATTCAAAGTGTAGTTACCTTGTTCAAGTGTTTGGGATTTGAAGAAAAATTTGAAAATAATTTGAAATTCATTCGTGGATAAATAATTCACATCGCATTGATAAATTATAAATGTACAATTATGTGTGGATTAGTTGTGCAAAACATTTGCACAATACGAGGATATTTTGCGTAACTTGAAAGTGGACCAAATACAAGAGTTACTCGAGATCTTGTGGAAATAAAAACTGCTTTTGAGAAAAAAAAAAAATTTTCAATGAAAAAAATGAGCGAAATAACGATTTTTGTGTTTTCACACATCTATAAACAGATCATAGATGAATGCTCACATAAAACATCACCATTTTATGAGTCATTTCAAATGGATATTTCGAAAAATACTTTCAATCGATAGTACCAAGTCAACTCACTCCAAATGAGACGTGCAAAAATACGTTTTCAAAGTTACTAAAATGATTCAATTCGATTTATATATTCCGTCGACGTTGCACTTTGCGGCCAATGGCAGTGTGTGATTGTGAATGATTCTCATGTATATATGGTTACCGTTAGAAAAAAATATGGAATTTATCAGCGGTTGGAACGAGTCATCCATTTATGAGTGTGAACAATTGTCAACGGATATCAAAGAAGCAGCTTGGTTGCAGTTCAATATGATTTGGTTTTTTTTAAAAGGAAAATGGATGAACTGGTTCCATTTGGATTCTTAAATTTACATATTCTCTTGAGCGGCTAGGTTGAAAGAGTCAAAGAAGATAAACACGGGTCTATATTCAAGACTTCTTCGAATAAATCTTTGGAATTCTCAAGAAAGTCAATGATTTAGATCGTTTAAATGACTCACATCGGAACGAAAGACGTGCAATGATCGTGAACATGAGTTTGCATTCAAAATAGTCGTATCAGAAATGAATGACCTACAAACCGACGTTGATGGAATTCATACTTGTCTCGTTTTGTTATTGCTTCTATTGTTTCCATTCCGTACGTTTTGGCATTAAAAGTCACTTGTTCCATTATCATCATGTCATCTGTCGACAGCGATGACAGAACGAGAAAATGCAAATAATAAAAGTGTTCTAAAATTTCATTTCGTCTGTCAAATGGCAAGACAAGTTGCTGTATCTGTTTTTTTGCGTGTTTGCGTTGATCAAAGTTTGTTTGTCAGGTCAATTATCACAGCAGTTGGATGATGTTTGATGTGCGTTTGAAAAGAAATTGGTTGAGCGAAAAGAAAGTTGTCGCGCGCGCATCAGACTCGGTTTTTCTTTCTATCTCCCCCTCTCTCGCTCGTTTCGAATTTAATTGAATGAATAATTGACACATAAAGTGACTGCGTCAAATCTTAATTTCATTTCGACGTCTTAAAATAGATAGAAGAAAAGGCCTCAAATTGACCATGAAAATGTTCTACTTTTCACATTTTGATTCTTGTTGGCCCAATGAAGACGATGACAATGTACACGCATTTTATGTCTGTTTGTGTGTATCCAATGTTTTCTCTTTTGAATAATGATCGCACAAAAAGATCGACTACACGGTCTGTGTGTGTTGTGTGATTTGTATATTGATTATGTAGAACCGTTATACCGATTGACTTGCTTACAAAATCGCGCTGTACTGCTGTTTTTTTTCTATCTATCGATCTCTTTCGTTGCCATGCTGGTTTTTTTCTCTTCTGCGCACTGCGCTCGGTGTGCGTTCTCTTTCTCCTCTCGCAATTGTTGGTGGTGCTCGCTGTGATCGTATTACAAACACGTTCTTCGGAACGTAACAGTTATACACAGAGAAAAGAATCTCTCGCTCCATCGTTCAAGTGGATTGGTTGGATTGTTGAGTGAGTGTGCGGTTTGCCCATATGGCGGCTCTTTGAATTGCGGGAATAAACCATGCCAACGATTCTTAATCACATTCCGCAATCGGCTCTATCGATACAAGCAATCCACCGAGTCCACAATCAAATGATATGGATAAAACAGTGTCTTAAATGCAAATCCACTCACATTCGCACAATGAATTTCAAATATGATTATTTTTATTTAGATACCCACTTTTGGTTTGGTTTCAACGAGTTTTTGTATATGTTTTTTTTTTCTAGAATTTTACACACGCACCACTTCGGATAGCTAACGAGCTATATACGTTGATTATTGAAACAGTAGGAAGAAAAAAAACAAAAACGGTGCCCATTGAAGGAAGGATTAATTTCTGGACAAGTTTAGGAGCATAAGCTAGTTGCGATGAGGGGGACGATATATATTCTTGGGATTATCTGTTTTTCTGGCGTCACCAATGCACAGGATGATTCTTTTGCTGGTAGTTTTTTATCAGGTGAGAATGCTTTTTCTTGGATTTCTGACTCGTTCATTTCAAAATTATAACCAGCATTCAATTAATTCGAATGATTTTGAACTAGAAACACTGATTCGTCTGCCCACTCAATGTGAGAAATGCGTGCGCGTTCACTGACCTATTCATCGTGCATAATTGGTTACCAAATCCGATTGAACGGTCGGTCGGTTGCTTTGCTTTGGATATTTGTGTGAAAACACTGAATAGAATCCACCGTTCTCTTTCGGCTCGTTTACAAACACAAAGCAAAACTGTGTTACAAATTCGCATAACTTGAATGTGAAATGTGTAAATTTATTCAGCCAAATCGTGAATATATTTCTTTTTCTCCAACGCTTTTCGAATCGTACGCATAGTTTAGAATGCTTTCTTTTCCACAACGCATATGGTGTTTCTTTTCTGTTTTACATAACTTATGGGTCTTCTCGCTGTGTGTATGTTGCTGTTTGTTTTTTTTCTCCTCTCGTTCAAAAAGTGCTTTGCCCGCCGCGCATGGGCTGTGCATCGACGAAGAAGACATTGATTTCGAGTTCTCGGTCGTTTCTGTATGCAGCTAACTGGTTTACAGTTTGATGGGCGAACGTATCAGTGTGTTGTGCTACGGTATTACGTGATCGTTGCTATTAACCCGCTATCGATGCGGAACATTCATTCATTCGCATGTAAATTCCATTCGTTCGGACAAACGTTGAATGGACCAGAAAACTTGACTGCTACACGGCGTCGCAACACATTTGGTGCGCTCACATCAAATATGTTTATGTAATTCTCTTATCTCTCGTTGGACACGAAGTAATTCCATTTCGATCGACGCGTTGAACAAGAACAACAACAAAAACACACACACTCAACTACTGACTTATTCCAAACCAGACGATACCTTTTTCGTTTTATTCGTCAGCCAATACCGTTAGAAAAGAACATTTTTACGACCAAATCGCGTGCGCGCCGCAAGTGTTCCACGTTAATATCATTGATGCTTCCTGTTTTTTTTTTGCTCTTCTGTCAAATTCACAACAAGGAGCAAAGTGTTAAAACAAAAAGTTGATTTGACGAATGAGGTTTCGCGAATAAAACTGTGATCATATCGCACAGAACGAGAACTCACATGCTGAAATGGAAAACAATGGGCTGCATTGTGCTCATTGTTCTCATTTAGAAAAAAAAAAGAAGTAACAAGTTGAAATCGTTTTCTCTCCGCATTAGCACTTCGTTTTTTCTTTTCTTTTAATTCAAACATGCAAATTGTTGATGCCAAAAACGGATGACTTTTTAACATCGCAATAGCTGAATTCAATGAAGAATATAAATGATTCGTACTCGAAATGATGATGGAATGTCAACAATTTCGTCAAAATACAATTTCGTCAAATAACTGGGTCACCAGCGAAAAAATGTGACACTTTTCTTTCGTTTCACGTTCATTTAATGTTTTCTTTTCTTTTCTTTTTTCTCACCATTTGACAGGTTTACTTGATTCAATAACGAGCACGGCTGAGGTGAAAGAATGTCCAGGTGTTTGTGTGCATTCATTTGCTACGATTATTTGCTATGAAATTCTGGAGGAGATTCAATGCCCGTCGTCGAATATGAAATGTTGCGTTGAGAGCAACAATACCTCACCAACAGCAGCCCAGTCTCAGGCACAGACAACAACAAAACCTGTGCGCACCACCACATTTGCACCGCAAACCAGCAAACCCACGCAAAAATTGGAAAAACCAACGAAATCGGAAACTAAAGAAGGTTTGATCAACACATTTTCACGAATGATACAACCAACTCCAAAACTGAATTCGATTTCATTGCTTCGTTTGTCGTTATTTTCATTATTTTAATTACCTCAATTATTTTTTTACTGCGTAGATGGCCCATGCCCAGGTGTTTGTGTTGCAGATCGAATTGCTGAATATTGTGAAGCATATTTGATAACAAGTGGCCTATGTAAAGTTGGTTCAAAGTGTTGTGTGCCTCGCGACAACTATCCCGATAAATTGCCGGCTGATTTACGCATTCCAAATGGCCATGTCAATCAAACAATGGCAGCAAAACCAACAAAACCAGCTCCTTCGACCATGTCCAATTCACATCAACAACGGCCACACCAAAAGCTGCCAATGAAACCGAACACCAGTCGACCAACGAAACCGCAAGAACCATCACGCGAATCAGATGACAATCAAATTAGTCAGAAGAAATGCGGAGGAGAATGCGTTAGCGGATTATTTGCACTGTTTTGTGATGGTTTAGATGAAGACGCTTACTGTCCTAATGAAGCTACCTGCTGTCTCACATCGGAGCCCAGCAATGCACCATCAACTACTCCAAGACCGGTGAGATTTTTTTTCGTTTCAATTGAGAACATCCAATGTTCTTTATTCATTAATAATAAAAAAACGTTCAACATAAAAACAGATCATCAAGCCAACAATTACTATCATTATCGTCTTCTTCTACACTGTATCAATAGACTCCAGCACCAAAATGCCCCGGTTACTGTATGTTGGATATTTTGTCAGCATTTTGTCAAGCGCCAGCTACAATCATATCGCGGACATCGAGCTGCAAAGAAGGATCCATTTGTTGTGATAACACACGGTTGGCAACAACGATAAGACCAAGACCACGACCAACACCACCACCAACGACTACAACACATGCACCGACAACGACTCAACAGCCTGATTACAGAGAAGAATGCCCCGGTAGCTGTATTGCGCCTTTGCTCAGTTTTACATGTTTCCGTGAGTGAAAATGCATTTGATCGATTAATTTATTGAAAAATAGAAGAACCATCACAGATTTGGTGTGTAATCAAGTCTTTTACAAAAAATTTAGTTCAATTTTAGTGTAATTTTGTTCCATTTTCGTTCAGCATTTATTTAAAACCATTTCATTCAACATAAAGGTAATGCTGAAATGACGGATGTATTCAAGTGTTCAAAGAAAGGACAAACGTGCTGTGCGCCCAAGTCAAAGATCCATGAAGTGCATATGATCCATCGCAATGATACAATTCCGCAATATGTTCAAGTTCCGCAGCAGCCACCACCAAATTATGCAGTCAACTATCCAAATCCAGGCTATGCGCCGATTCCACAGAATAATTATCCATACGCGCCAATTCCACCGCAGCCAGCGATTCAAAATGTTTACCCAAGCAACTACATCCAACCTCAGCCTCAACCGGTGCCACAACAAATACCACAGCAAGTACAACACTATCCAGTTCCACAACAAGCATATGCTCCTGTTCCCGTTGCACCAAATAACATCTACCCATCGCCAGTCGTCAACAATGTCATTCCGCCCGTTTACCCAACTCCAGGTAAGTCCACAACGATCAAATTATCTCGATTAATGCAAAGATCATTTCGAATTGATTGAAAAACAATTCTTGAATCTTGTTTCAGTGTACGAAATACCAACGCAACCACCAACGACACAGCCGCCTACAACAACAACGACACGAGCTCCTGTTTATTCGAAATATGTGTGTGGTGTGAAAGGAACCAGTCGAACGGCAAAGAAAATGTTCTTGGAACGCATGACACCGTTGCACAAAAAGGCTTTGACCCGAACAAAACGTCAAGTAAACAAATCGAAGGAGGTATTAATCTTGGGCAGTGAATTGGTTCCAATCCAAATCCACAACGACAAACTTGGCGATTTAGCTAAACAAACCGATGATGCGATTGACAATTTGGCGGAATCGAAAGCAATGACCTACGATCACCCGAAATTGATTTACAATCAAAATTATTCGTCTTATAATCGGCAAGCGCGTGTTGTTGGCGGTGAAGATGGTGAAAATGGTGAATGGTGCTGGCAAGTTGCTTTGATCAATTCATTAAATCAGTATTTGTGCAGCGCTGCTCTCATCGGCACGCAATGGGTGCTAACTGCAGGTTAGTTTCTATCTATTAAATTTATAATAAAATTTAATACGAAAGGATTTATTTTTAAAAAAAATTCTTTTCTGGCAGCCCACTGTGTGACCAATATTGTCCGATCGGGAGATGCAATTTATGTTCGTGTTGGCGATTATGATTTAACACGAAAATACGGCAGTCCTGGCGCACAGACTATGCGAGTGGCAACGACTTATATTCATCATAATCACAATAGTCAAACACTTGATAATGACATCGCTTTGCTGAAACTGAATGGTCAAGCTGAGCTTCGAGAAGGCGTTTGCTTGGTTTGTCTACCAGCACGAGGAGTAAATCATGCGGCCGGAAAACGATGCACAGTCACTGGCTTCGGATATATGGGCGAATCAGGACCAATTCCATTGCGTGTACGAGAAGCTGAACTTCCGATCGTTAGCGACGCTGAATGCATTCGCAAAGTCAATGCTGTCACAGAGAAAATTTTCATTCTACCGGCAAGCAGTTTTTGTGCAGGAGGTGAGTGATTGTTTATTGCTTTTTTTCTTCATTTTTTTCTTCTTTGAAGAAAAATATCACGGAAAAGTTTGTACGAATGACAATTTTTGTCTACATAATTTGGATTAAAACCATGAACTTCTTGAAAGATGAAGGAATTTCACAATTGTTTATCCAAAATTGAATATCCAACATATTTTTTGCTCCATTAAAAACAGGCGAAGCAGGAAATGATGCATGCCAAGGCGATGGTGGTGGCCCGTTGGTATGCCAAGATGATGGATTCTTTGAATTGGCCGGACTAGTTTCATGGGGATTCGGTTGCGGTCGCATTGATGTCCCCGGAGTCTATGTCAAAGTAAGCGATCGGTCATAACAGGGTCGATAATTTGAATTATTTTTTTCGATGTTTTCGTTGCAGTTCAAGCCGCTCTCTCTTTCTCTTTCTCTTTCTCTCTCCCTCTCTCTTCACCTCCTTCTCATTTGTTCAAACTCAAAATATGCATTAAATTCGAACTATGTTTCCATTTCAGGTATCCTCATTCATAGGATGGATAAACCAAATTATTAGCGTAAATAATCTGTAAGCGGATAATTCGTATGGAAATTAATTGGCACTGCTCGACACCTTCGAAATGCAATATCCATCAAAAACAGTTGATTCAGTGAATAGCTTTTCGTTTCGATTTTGTTGTGGAAAATTCAATATATTCCGATCGATTTCGGATAGAGTTAATAGTTCGAGGAAAGCGAAAAAAATAATCTAGAGAGTAATAACATAAGTAAGACAAAGATAACTTTAAAACTCGTATTGTATATAAAAATAAATATGATGGCATCCAAAAGAAAAGCAAAACAAAAACACAAAAATGTCGTCGTTGTTCAATTTTAATACTTTTTTTTGATACTCTTAAAATTAGTGAATTAGTAAATGGTGTGTACACTGTACAATACACATTTACCGCATGCAAAATTGAAAGAAAAATAATGTCCGATTTGAAAGCGGCAAGCGAAATGTGCTTTGGCCCATAAAAAACACATTCACTTATTGAACAAAACATTTGAGCTAGACGCAATTAAAAATACTTCTAAATAATTCGTTTAAGGAATTTGAAAATAAAGTAATGCAAAAATTATAAGCAAAGTTTTGTATTTTCTAGTGCAAAAGTGCTATTTCTCCTAATATCCATCAATGTCGTCTACAGCGAGCGGAGAGAAGGTCAAGGAAAACATCCTTTGAGAATAGTGAAATAGCAACAAGCCAAGTACTCACTTCGTATTGTAAGACTATTAGCGAGATTAGATGATTTCAGGCTGAAACCAATTTGCATAATAAAATGCAAAGGGGAAACTCTGTCTATTGTTCGCGTCGCACTCTATCGTATTTGAAATAAGAAAGGAATGCTGAGCGCAAGCAAGCAAAACTTCTTCACTGTCGCAGGAAGAGCATCAGAACGAAGATGCTTATGGTAAATAAGAGGGTTGATTCACAAACAAAATCATGACCATACGAAGACGCAGTTTTTTTTTTCATATATAATTTTTTTCGATGTTTTTACTGCATTTGTGTGTATATATACCTGAGCCGTGTGTGACGCGTTCTGAATCCTTGCACGGTGTGATTAGTATGCATGAAAAGTACCATTCAAAACTTCCTTTTAAACGATTTCGCGTTCGTCACCGCATGTTTTATGAGATTCTAGTTTTAAGACGACCGACAAAAAAAAGCCTCGTCGTTAGGATGACATTCATTAAATTTGATTTTTGGACCTTCTCACACATCATTTTTTTTGGCTCTCCGCTATATTCAAATTCAAATACTGTAATTGTTTTACCTCATGTCTTTACCTTCTTATTGTTTTTTTTATCATAGCTATTTGAGATACGGATCCGGAGGAAAATTTCCTGATTTCAAACGTTTTTTTCTCTTTTTAAACCACGTTGGAACAAAGGATTGAAGAAATGTAACTTGAAAAAAAACGTACATATTTTATTCTTCCTCAAACACTAACACATCATACTCTTTTTTCCTGTCGCTTCGGTGCGACTTGAAATGAAAATTTCAAACACAGACAAGCTACAAAAATGTCATGCAGAAAAATATCATATCAATCTTTTGTTCTCATAAAAATGAAATAATTAAAAGTAAACGCATAAGTTGATGAGAAATGCGAAGCATTGCGCGATTGAAAGCGCGTGTAGATGCAAGGAAGGAAGAGAAGAGAGGGAGAGAGAAAAAAAACACGGCACAACACAGAGTTATGCTGTCGTCCGTTGGCGACAGACTAGTTTTTCTAAGCAACAACACAAACTCGAGCAAGTTTTTCATTTTGTGTCTGAGTGCGATTCGCTTGGCAAATTTATTTGTTGTTTTACATTGGGATTGGCTTTATTTTTGCCTTCAATTTGCTTCGGATGCTTTCCGCTCTTCTTCTCCATTCTCTCTTGCTCCACAGATTTTTTTCCTTCATTCTTCTTCTTCTCTCTGTCGTGTATATTGGTTGGTGCATTGTCACGACACTGTGAAAAAAAAACCACCGTATTAATTATACTGGCGAGCATCGTGTGTGCGTACGTATGCAATGTGACAATTTTTACTTTGTTGCCCATCGTCATTTCACCAGCAGCAGCAGCCACATCGAAGATGATGATGATGTCGGCATTTCTCATATACAATCGTGAAAAATTCTGTTTGGTATTCGCAAAACTTCGCACTCGGCTTGGCGAAAAGCATTTCGTCATGAGTTTTGCGCTTACGCGCACGCAACAGCAACGCGAGCGCGCTCTTCACTGTCGTCCACGAATTTCAAAGTCTTGTTACCTTAAATCACTCATTATCACCCCGAAAATCAATTGAATGCAATTCGTCGGACGGAAAATATTCGCCGATGTAATTATTCGAAAAATGCACTAATTACACAAAACGCGAATTTTTGCGTAGCTTGCGTTCTAATTAAGTTTCAGGTGAAAAGTGACTTCAGTCCAGCATGTGAAACATTTTCATTTTAATTGGCTATGGGCGATCGAAATATGCAAATCACAATACGTGTACGGTAGAAATTGTCGCATCGATCTTTGTAAGCGGCGATCTTGACTCTCTGGCTGACGAAAGAAGGGAAGGCCATTGGTTTATAACGTTTTGGCCGATTGACGATCATGCGCGATCAATTTATTAGTTTAATTATTCGCTTTCTATCACAGAGCAATTATTCCGTTGTGGTTTTAATTGCCATCCGTTTATAATTTTCACACCCAGCCACAAAGTGCCATGTGCGCTCGATCTTCTGCGTATAAGTGATGCAATTAAAATCACAATCAGTTTTGATCGTCCACGAGAAAGATTCTCACGATGGTTTTCGTGATCTGGATTTTTATGATTTGCTTTTTTTTTCGTCCACAAAAAAACCTCTGAATGCGATATTTTGGTGAAAAATAAATTGCCAACGCATTGCAATCGATGTATGCATTCGCAATATTTCCCGATTCATTAAAATAAATTAATGTCGCAAATAAATACGGGAAATTTTAATTTTTCGCCAAAAATAAAATTCGTTGCCATTTTTGTTTGCTTTATGATTAGTTTTTACCACTTGATTGCAAACGTTGAAATGATTTTTTTTTTCGTCCTACTCTTCGACATCATCGAATGATTGAAATTCCATTCTCTGTCAATATCTCATTTTTTTTTCTTGCACTTGTTTGAGGCAGTTTTTGATGACATTCTGTATTGACTAATGCGCGACAGTGAAAAGAGAGAGAGAGAACGAAAAAAAACGTTATTGTTCTTGTCCCTCTTGCCATGTACCATCGTCCGCTGTGCATCGCATCACCATGTATGGTCTTTAAATCAATTCAAGAAGTCCGTTTAAAGTGTCGCTGCGCTTGAAAATATAATGATAACATGATATTAGTCAATAGCAATGTCAAGTATCGACAACATAATGCTTCAATGCCAATGCCACAAGTGTGTTGTCGTTGGCATAAAAAATCTGTGCGCGCACACACCAAGTCGAAACACATAAATTCAGTAAGCGCGCACTCACAACCAATTCACGACGACGATGATCGGGTTTTTGGAATACATGAAAAGCGCATTTGTGCATCCAATGCAGACGGAGAGTGTTGTGTATCGCGAAGCGCACAATCAAAATGCAAACGAAAAACCATTTATTCGATTTATTGTATCACACTTGATGTTTTATGTGCTTGTTTACATGTGTGTTGCTGCAAAAACGTAAAAAAAATACTTTGTCATACTGCTGTATACGCGCGTCGTCATCGATAAACGAACGATGAGGCCGAGTTCAGTCAATTTTTATTAGACATTTTTGTTTTTGCTGGCATTCAATGCATTGGACTTCGTGGTTGATGTGGCTGTTGTTGTTGTTGTTTTTTTCGTCATTCTTCATTCGAACCGGCCATCGTTGACAAACAACATTGTGCCGGCTACTACTTGTCTTCATCGGACACTCTTTTTCCCTCCTTATGAACTTGTAATTGGCTCCATAACATGAGCATAATGTCGCAAATTTTCCTCTCATTTCTAGAAAAATATCATAAACCATACATGTGTACATGAATTGATAGAGAGGTTTCATGATCGAGCCGAGCCGTATGTAATGGATCCGCGATGAATTACCTATTTAAATCAGAAAAACCGTTCATTGCAATTGAACCTTTAAATTGCGTGTATATATATGAGAGAAAAAGAGAGAGTGAGAGAGAAGAATCCCCGTCGATTTTGCGTGTCAATGCGTAAATGTGTAGTTATTTTATATAAAAGGCGGAGCAAATGATTCGGAATGCCGAAAACAAAACACAGAAAAAAGAACAATACCAACAACCAAAGCAAAAAGTGACTTTGCACAAGCAAACAGCAGCTACCCAATTCAATTGTGTGTCCGGGTGAAGTATGCGACTTGAACCAATTCGTGTGTCTTAGTATGTAAGTGCGGAGCGCGGTTGTGTATGTGTATTTGATGCACGTATGGGTAATGCATAATGCGTAGCACTCACATGCAACCGATGAAGACGAAACGAAACAGCTACAAAAGGAAAACGGTTGAAGCAACAAAAAGGAGAATGTGACGACGACGACGACGACGATGAAGACGACGGTCGATGCTGCCTTTGCTGTGAGTGTGCGAGTTTTTTTTCTTCTCTCTTCCCATATTCACATTCATCTGTTATTCCTTCTCGTTTACCATCCAACAGCAGCACATGAATCGCCCTTCGATGCCACTGTCAAAGCTACCAATCGTTCAGAAGTTATTTTGATTGCATTCGAAGCGGTACATTGAAATACCAGACTATGAACTAACACAGCCACGGATTTATTTCTATTAACATACACATTTCATTTTTTTTTTAATTTTTCGTGCCATTTGTTTTAACTACATATTTTAATTTATTTTCCAAAAAATTTATCATTTATTTCTTTATTCATTCACTCTGAGAAATCGTGTGATTTTGTTGTTTATTGTTTGAGCTTAACGCCTTCATTTTAGTGTGTGGTGCTAGACCATCGAAAATTCCAATCGCAATAGATCGCTATCATTTTGAATCCAGCTGAAACATTTAAGCTTTGTGCGTAATTTTTTCTTCTCTGGGTGAAAACAAATCGTATAAATCCAAGTGCAGAAATCAAAAGAAAAGACTATTTTAGCAAATCAAAATTTGTATTCTAAGAAAAATCATCCGTTGTCATCCAATCACCAATCTCGTTGCAATCGAATAGCGCGCTTTTGTTATTTAACGTTTAACGTTAAATCATTCTAAATCAAAATCAATTTAAATCAATTTGAAGAGATTTCTTATCAACATTTTCTAACGTGTTTGTTTTTTTATTGGACTCATTGATTGTGTTTTATTTGTTTTGTGTAGAATCGTGAAATTGTTTTTCTTTTCGTTGTTCTTGAATGTAGAATTTTGTGATTTTAGTAAATTTGATTGTGAAGTAGTAGGTAATTTTCTTGAAAACTTAGGCCAGTGCGTTGAACACATACCGTCGATAAAAAAAATAAATTAGCGTTAATAATCATTTTTCATCCATCAAACATAACATTTAAATCGAGCAATTGATTGCTTCGTTGTTGTACCGTTGCAAAATGTAAATTTGAACACGTTTCAAGTACACATAACCTTTGGGAAACGTTTTGGCCGGACGATTCGATCCAAAATAGAAGCAAACAAAAAAGAGTATTAAATCGCTGTAAAACGTGTGTATTGTTTGTTGAGAGAGTTGTGTATTAAAAATATTATGGAAATTTCGGGTGGTCATCCATCGTCGACAACATCGCATCATACGCAAGCAACTAGTAGTAGTGTAATAGTACAAAGTAGCCAGCCAGAAGAAGGAGTTTCTCTAACAAGCCTTTCAGATATACATCAATTGCATCATCAACATCATCATCATCATCATCAGCAGCAGCAGCTTCAAGCGCCGAGCGCCGCTACCGCTTCGATATCTGGTCTAGTTACTGGTTCAATATCATCGATAGCACCACATCCAAAATTGCATCCGTTGCATCAATCACATTTGCACGCACAACAAACGCCGCCACATTTTGGTGCGACACGCACACCATCCATTCAGCAGGCATCGTCATCGTCCGCATCCAGTCCGATTTTGTCACCACCTGGAAAAACGCTTGGCCGCAATAACAACGGAACCAGTAAGTTTAGACAGACACACTCACTCATTTTCCTTTCAGTTCAACCACAAGTTTCTAGCCAAAGTCAATCGCGAAAAAAGCAAACTAAACCCGTTTCAAAAGTTTTTGGCGCGTTAAACGGCTTCATTATTCATCAAGAGTAATTCGTTGTGTGTTGTTTTTTTCTGGTCACTCATTTTTTCCCATTGAATAGACGTTCCATTATTCCGTGCATATGTAATTCAAACAGAACAGAGAAGAAAAAAAACGCACCATCCATTGTGGAAAACATATGGTCTGTGTCCCGGTTCAATAGTTCAAAGAGTAAAATGCTTTAGAAAAAAATGTTGTTGAATGAAGAAAAAAAAATTGTTCTATTTACTCGCACGATTTTTATTGAACAAATAATAAGTTTTTACCCGTTACCTTTCGGGTTTTTTTGCCCTATGATGAGTGCATATAATTTTTGAACACAAAAAATCGGTCGAAAGACATTGTTCATTGTGGCCCAGCACACGAAGAGCAACGGCCAAGTAAACATATGCTGTATAAAGATTTTTTTTTTCGTCTTCAATTTAATGTTTTTTTCCTTTCTATTGCACTCCACACCGACACATTGTGCGGGTAATCTTTAATCAGCGACGGAAAAGGGATTCAACCCCTTGAATCGTTGGAGTTTGACGTATGTTCGGAGCACTGTTTTTTTCACATTGATTTTTCAAGTACCGATTCATTTATTTTAAGATTCGAATAACTTTTATTCCACGATTCAATGCAAGATTCGATTCAACGGTTGGTCAAATGTCCGGAAAAAAATATGAATTATTATTGTCGAAACTAGAATTCTTTTTCGGCAATCAATTTGAATTGATTTCATTTGTTTCCGGCCCGGTCAATATCAAATGGATCCCAATTAACATTTGCAACTGATTTATCTCGTCAATTTCTTCCTTGGGTCATATCAAACAGCCCTTGGTTGAGCCATCTCCAACAACACTGCGAAGACTGAAAAACACAAAACAAATCGTTTGTATTGTTAGTGCTTTGGTACATGTTCGCCAACACATTTGATGTTAAAATTCAAACTTTCCGATCGATATCATAAATAATCGATGTTTTATAACTATCGAAAATAAAAACAAACACCGAAAGTTGTTGAAATAACAACATCGATAAATCTCGCCGTTTTTTTTCGTCTTCATCTGTGCGCTCGCAGAATTGAAATTTGATCATTTGGGAATTTCCACATAAGTTATTTCGAAAAGCGCCGATTCAAACATAAAACTTCCGATGCATTGAAGTCGTAAAACGTTAACTGGCAGTTGGCTGCACATAAACATAAATCAGCTCGCATCAAATTAACCTAATCTGTTGCTTTCCGCAATTTTCCATGTTCGTTTCGGAAGCATTGTCGGTGCAGCGAGAGACTGTTTCTCTTAGTGAAGACTTTCTTGCACACAAATACACACACGGTGTGTCTGTCTGAACACACTTTCAATCGTCGAGTTCATTTCAACGATATTTTTTAATTAGACCATGGTGGAACTTGTACAAAATTCATTCTGTCTGTTAGCACAGTTGTCCAGTTGACACGATATTGACTCGGCAAGCAGTTCTTTTACAGCAAACCTACTTGCCAATTCTCAATGAAGTTTGATAGTCTCGCAGACGCGAAAAAAAACCCGACAAACCAACAAACACAGTCGCGCGAGTCAGGAAAATGGGATAAAATGATAGAAACACTGCCGAAGTGCTCACACACATTCACAGATTTCTTCTCTTCTAGCACACTTTTTTCTCATCAATTGTGCGTTCGTTTTAATCGTTTTTGTGGCTCTTCTTGGTCGTCAGTCGTTTTTGTTATTTGTTTGGTGCCGTCTCGTATTTCTCATGTTGGATATTCTTAATATTTTTCCGTTTCGCTTCTATTGCCATTTTCCTTGCACCGTCCCTTTCTCTCACTCGCACACTCGCTCGCCTCACATTGTCCGTCTCGTGATAATCTGGATTTTTTGCGCTCAGCTCAGTATTGCTTTTATTGTTTTTTCATAGACGATCAGGAGCCACACGATATAAATTGCAGTTGAAGAACAATTCTACACTCTATCGCAGACGAAACGATAACACCAAATATATTGGGCGCGTCTTTTTCATTCTCAACAAAAACACATGTACATAAACACATACTCTTTCTTCCACACACATCGACCAAATCTATCGAGAGTTGGAGAGCGGGAGCAAAAAAAAAATGTATCCAAACCGAAAAAATGCGATTATAAAAAGCGATAGAGACGGGGAAAAAATGTGTGGATACAACGAAGCAACGGAACTCAAGAAACAAAAATCAATGAAAATGCACCAACATCCAACAACAAAGTTTCAGTAGTTTAACTCTCCGTAGACGCGCATAAAATTGCGGATGAATGCGGATTTACAGAAGAAATCGAATTGTTTTTGGGGGTAAATCAAAGAGTGAATGAAAAAGAGAGGGAAGAGAGGGAAGAGATAGATGGTATATTAACATCAGCGAAAAATAAAGACGGCATCCACTCGATGTTATCAATTCAAAACTGTGCGAAATATTGGAATGAAAAACAGTGAGAGCGGAAAAAATGCGGCGAATTTTTGGCGTCCTCATTGAAACCAAGCTCAAGTTCAAAACCAGATCTGCATTTAAGCATGGGATAATAGCAAACAGACGTTAGATACAAACAGAACACACTATTTTTTTTCTATTCTTTCTTCATCTTTATGATGTATTAAAGGGAAAAATGGCGCGGCATTGCTTGCGCAACAGATCTTGCTCTTTTGTACCGAATATTTCTAATGATGTCAGCACATCGCCGTCATTTAAATTCAAGGGTAATAAAAACATATCTTTGAAACGCCATTTTTTCACCGGATTTAACGGTTAAATTCAAATATTCCACGAGACCGACGCGAACGAGAAAAAACACACATATTTCGAACAATCGTTTATGTACGTAGTTACATCGTATTTATTCATTTCGAAAGGAACTCGTTTTGGATGTATTCTCATCGGATGCTTGGTCCTGGTGATGCGAGAGAAGAAAAAAAGTCGCTGCCGATTTAAAAAGGCAGTCTCTTAGCCTACCGTTTCGAATGAATCGTCACCCCAGTTCCATCGAAAGACGACGCAGTCTTTGTGATTTTCAACCGGTAAATAACTTCTCTCTCACTCACTGTTCCCATCGCGATGAGCAATCACTCTTACACTCGCATGTGAGCCATTAAATTATTCGTGTACCGACAAATTCATTTCGATGTACCTCTATTTCGAAGAGAATGCTCCGTAAGAAAAAAACTTCCGCCTTTCGTTTCAATCCAACCAATAAGGTCTACTCACAACCACCATTTTAACTGCTGTTTTTTGCCAAACATAAGGGTAGCGATTTTTTTCAGGTAGTTTCGTACCCTAGACACACACACTTACCAATCGTTGTTTTTTTCTGTTCCGCTCAAACTGAATTTTGTATGTGCGTCAATAGCACATAACGACATAACAATCATATACCATTCTATTTATTGTGATTATGTAAAATTCATAACCCTTTCCATTCATTCGATCACAAAAGAACAAAACATATATATATATATATATATAAATTTCAGTGAAAGTAAACATTTCAATCGCAAAAAATGGAAATGATCGTTTTTTCCCACTTTCAAGGAGCGTTCTTGTTGCCGAACAAATATTAACGGTTTTCGGTGTTTTTGCAATATGTTTGAGTGTCGAATGCATCATACATATTTTTATTAATGAACAAAAAAAAAATAATTAGAACCTGGAGTGAACCATGCCAGTTCGGCCGTCGGCGACAATTTAATTTCTTTCCAATTTATTGCCATCAAAATGGCAAGTTTAATTGGACAGCCAGTGACGTCAATTTCATAACAATGTTGATAACTAATAACACGCCGGTATGAGAATTCATCGATAGCATGCGTTCCGCATCAATATTTGTCGGTAAAGTGGCAATTATATCGAGAGAAACGTACACCCAACCACCTGCACTCTACCAAAATGTGAACGAAAAAAAAAATGATTTCGAATTTCTATCAAAATTCAAGAATTCAAAGACAAAATTCAACGATCAAAGGGCAAAATAGTTTTCTTGTCCATTTTTTTCTTCGTCTCCGAATTGCATAGAATATGCGAGCCCAGCTGAATTGAATTCTAACGTAGAAAAAACAGTAGTCGTTTTTACTCTCGTTAGTGTAACGTGCACGCACCGCGCTCGAATTCAGTTGACCGATGACAAAAACTCAGGCCGCCACATTCTTGAGCGTCTGTAACATTTTTTACCAGCGCTCAACTAAGAGCAAAGGCATCAATCTATCGATAATCGCAAACTGACTTTCTTCGATGTTTTTTTTTTCATGCAATGTCCCGCACGAAAAACTTCCGAATAATTATGGAATGTTGAATTCGCGCACAAGAACCGGCGCAATGAAAATAACATGAACCAAACAAAACGAGGTGAAAAAAAGCCATGGCAAAAATTTACACAAATTCTTGTGCACATTCGGCACAAATCTTAGTTAGACATCGTCGTGCAATTAAAAAGTTGGATCAAAGAATCTTCATGCCATAATGCCTTAAGAACACACTCCCGCTTTTTTTTCTCATCTAATAATCGAAAATGTTGTCGTTTTTTTTTCTCTGCGCAACCGTTTGTTTTAATCAAAAGTGAACAAAAAAATATAATAATATAATGAAAAGAAAATCTTCTTTCGAGTTTTTTTTTGCTTCAGCAAAGATTGCATCGCGGCTGCTGCTGTTGCTACCGTTGGCATCAACGGTGTGAAGAGCGTCCGATGCAAGATGATGATGATGACAAACGAAAAAAAAGCACACGATGTGCTTTCATTATGATGTGTTGTTTCGTTGCTTTCGCGCACCAACGATAAATACGTTCATCAAATTTTAAAGCAATCGAAATCATCAAATTATTGTTATTAGGATGAATTTCATTTGGTCTCTCGGGCATATCAGTGGACACCATATAGGAGCGAAAACTAAAAAAACACATACACATAACACAAAGAGTGCGCATTTGGTTGAGCGACCGAACCAAAACGGCCGCCGTAGTCACAAACATTTCTTTCTCCGCGCAACGCGTATTAATTCTCACTACACGACATGCGACGCCACGGCACACAACATCCATTATAAAAATATGCACATTGATTCCGCCAATGTCAAAGCTAGCAAAAAGAAAGGAATCGCTGTTGCTCTCGATATTCCATTTTGGCATTTCTCATATATGCTTTTTGCCCACGTTGCTCGGTTAATTTTATGTGCATTTTGAAATTTTCGGCAAATAGGCCGTTGTTATTGCATCGTTCTTCTTTCATATTTTATTTCGTTTTGTGTCATCAATTGGCGGTTCATCGTACACATATTCGCAACAACGGCAGCAACAGTAGCAAAAAAAAAGCATAACATTGAAATGTGTTTTTGGTTATTTCGATATTTTCTAGACGGATTTTTTGTCCGACGAACTGGCAACGCGCCAGTCGTAGCGAGTCACACTCAGAATGATTTGAAATAGACTGCAAATATTTGCAAGGATTCAACGTCGACCGATGTACCGCGTGAATCAAGTACCCGACCCACTAAATCACAATTTGTTCATACACACACGCTCGTGAGAACGGATAGTCCATGGAAGCGGATTGCAACGCATCGCATCAGAAAACAATAAGCCTTGTTTTATTGTCGAAATCAAACCTCATGAATGACAAGACATTCAAACAACAACATCATCATCGCACACTCGGTATGTTGTGAGAATTTTCATTTTTTTTCACGTGTTTCAATTCATCTGTACACGTTTCTCACACACTTTGTTCGACGGCCCAAAGAAAAAAACGCGAACGGCAAAGAGGAGAAAAAAAAACGGAAAACAGCGAGAAAAAATGACAACGGTACGAAAAATGGATTGAAGTAAATGACAGAAAAAATGCGACATCACATCCGAATATGCAAATAAGATGCGGTTCTCTCTCACTCGCTCGCACTCTCTTCTGCCGCCGAGATGTTTTCTTTAACATCATAATTCCCATCGAATGGCTCACCTAAGCATATCGCAAGCACACTCATTACACACTCGGCATTGTAAATCATGTGATCGCATAGCCTCACATACCGGATAAGTAATCGCTGCCGATGTGCTACCGTAATGCATTTTTCACGACCGAACTCGTTCTCTTTGATTATTATTATTATTTTTAAACGCAATATCGTAATAATCCTAACTAGAGACACAAAAAACACACACTTCTCTTAAATTTTTACCTGCTGAATTGTGGACTCCGGTCAAAAAAAAATCTCTTTGTGTTTATGCTTGTAAATTTTTTTTTTCGTCCGTATCTATCATTGGGGCCGGGTAATGCAGTAGTACGCATCATCAATTGAATAAATTAGAATGTAATGCGCTTGAGATACCTGCGGGCAACGCATCGCAACTAAAACAAAAAAAAAACGCAACATAAAAGGATTCATACCACAAGCGCAGAGAGACGTTCGCCTAATACCAGAAATTGAAGGGGCCAAAACCAATTCACGGGCGAAGAAGGAGAGAGGAAAAAAACGCACACATTCACAGCGAACAATATTCAAATCGATTCACGTATGCAAACGAAACAAGAAACATATGATAGATGAACTATTTGCGCTCTCTCATACACCAAAAAAACACGACCGATCTATTCACTCGCTCAAAAGGAAGCACACAACAAGACAAGAACACGAAAAGGAGATTAAAAAAATGACGACACCGAAAAAAAACACGTATGACTTAAAGGGTAAACATTTTTCTTGTTATCCTTTTCTAACTTCGTTTCGTTAGTGAAGGCAGCCGCGCTGCACAAAGCCGACTACAATACAGCACCTATTTGTCTGTGTATAAGAAAAAAAAGGTGGTGTTTTTTCGCGTTGCTCTTTCCTCGCATCTTTCGAAGCTTGTTGTGAATGATGATGATCGAATTGCGGCCGTCGTGCGCACATTGTGAACCGCTCTGCGTACGCAAATGTTTCTTAGACAGCAAGAAAGAGAGAGAGAGAGAGCCGCAGCATAGAAATTAAATGTTTATGCTGTTGTTCATAATGGTAATCAATTGCAGGAGTTTTTTTCTTGGTCGACGATGTTTTTTTTTCTGAGGCTGTTTTTTTCCTGTAGGAGTTTATCACACGACGGAATAGACTAGAAGAAATACCAGTTCATTTCGTATGCGTGAATCCCGTGAGAGACTTTCTGTGCCGACCACACCACATCGAGACGAGTTTCTTTCCAGACCGTACACGTGTATTGTCTTCATTTTTTCACTTTCGATTTTTTTTTTCGTGCGCTTCTTCTCTCTCCCCCTCTCTCTCTTCTCACATTTGTGTGTATAACTCGACTGGCTTGCGTTTTTGTTTTGCATATTCCTTCTATTCATAGTTTTCCTTTGATTCAATTCATTTGTTTGCTCTAACAATCTCTCGCGAATTTGTTCGGTTTTTTTTTTGCTGCTGCGATGCCAACTGGATATTCTCTCTCAGACAACGCTCATTGTCCGCAGTTTTTTCTTTGCTTCTCTGAGATCACTTAGACTTTTGTCATAATTTTTTTCTGCACAAATTTTATTACCGTGTGAATGCCCGAGTAGATCACAGTTTAGGCAGTTTGTGTGATATACAAGTGTTTGTTGAGTTCTTAACCCGAGAGTCTTAAGATTTGAAAGCGAAATTTCACACGAAATCGATGGATTTATATAAAGAAGAACTAACATATTCCAAATTTAATGATTCTTGCAAATTGAAATCCATTTGATATCGGAGAAAAATTGGTTGAAAAACAATTTATTTCAAAATGGATTCAAAAGTGCTAAAATTCTAATTACACTTTTCATCTTCTTCTGCTGGTTCTTCTTCTTCATCTTTGAAAGATTTTTTATTTTCTTCTTCAAAAAATCCACTTCTCCATAAAAAAAACGAGCCCTCAATTCCAATCAACATTTATTGCATAAACAAATCATCCGTTATTCCCACAGAATTGATATCGTTCTTCAAAGAGAGGCAAACAACAGCAAGGATGCGATTAGAAGAGCGGAAAAAAAATTCATTAATATGTGTGAAAATAGCTGTGATGAGAACCAAAGAATATCCGTTTCATGTGTTTAACTGTAAAGAGCGGTGTCGATTTAGAAAAAAAACGCAGAAAAAAATGTTATAAAAACTTGTACATATCGGCTGATGTGTACAAAGAACAGCAACAATAGGGTCAATTTCCTGAGAGTGATAGTTTTTTTTGTTTGTCTCTGTTCGTTCTCCAAGCATGAGAAGATTTTCTCTCATTTGCATATTCGATGGAGAAAAAATGGACACAAAAAACACTATCTCTGATTTACATAAAAGGTTCATTGGTTTTTTTTTCTCTCTCTCTCTCTCTTCATCATCTTAGCGAGATGTGCACGGCGCATTTTTTTTTTGCTGCCGACAACCAAAGAACACTCATTATTCTTCATCTTTTTACACAGCGTTATGCGTTGCATGCATTAATTTTCTAGATTGCCAAGAAACAATAGTAGTAATTCACTGGTGTTGTGTTGTGTTTCGAAGCATTTTTGTGGCCCAAGAGTTCTTGGCCTCAGACTATGTGAAAGGACGCGAGTGGCATAAAAATCGGGAAAAATTAATTTTTTTTTAATTTCGAAAAAAAAACTGAGCCGACACGACTATACGATCCAAATCTACGTAGAAAAAAATACAACCCCTTTTTTATATTGGATGCAAGAAAAAAAAGGGTTGAAATCGTGCATAAGAAATAGAATGTAAACGTATAAAAAAACGCTACGTCGCAGAAAGACGATCAAGAGGGGATTAGTTGTGTTTGCATTCAACACAAATAAAAAACCAGCACCTCGAAATGATATTATGGGATTGGTTTTTTTTTCGATGCGACTCATAAATAAACCAATCACGTTCTCATTTGTCTATGAAAAAATGGGCTTGATTGAAAAAATAAAATGCTTTAGCTTTTGATTGTTGGGTGTAAAGGTTTGTTTCAATTATTTTAATTGCTCGGCTTTTGATCATTTGCACTTTGGCTTGAAATGTGGAATTCAAATTTCGAAAAGTATTTCACTTAAAATGATCAGTTTTTCATCTTTTTTTAGTATTTTGTTATCAAATTTCATCTGTTCTTCTCTCTCTTTTTTATATTATCCATGTTCTTCTCTTTCTTGCAGTGGTCTCTACATCCACACCACAGAATGAAGCTGAACTGCAGCTATATCGAGTTCTACAGAGAGCCAGTCTTCTGGCATATTACGACACATTACTTGAGATGGGTATGATTCAAAATCGATTTTTTTAAAAACATTTTCTCAATAGTATTTGTTTATTTCATAAAAATCTCTTAACCAAATGAAGATAATTCAACAAATTGCTTTGATTTTGAATCAAAATTCAATCCGTTTTTTTCAGGTGGCGATGATGTGCAGCAATTATGTGATGCGGGTGAAGATGAGTTTTTGGAAATTATGGCGCTAGTTGGAATGGCATCAAAGCCGTTGCATGTTCGCCGTTTTCAGAAAGCCTTGGCCGAATGGGTGAGCAATCCAGCGTCGTTTAAAGTGCCATTATCAAGTATAGGTGAGTTTATTTCACAGTTTAATCTTTGGTTAATTAGATCAAAATATCCATTTCAGTTTCAAAATATGTAACCATAGGTGGGTTGTTCATTCATTTTTATTGTTGCTTCATTTTAATTCAAATTGAAAAGAAATTTTCGTGCAATTCATCTCGATACAGTTTTATTTCCCCGCTATTAAAGCTCCTCCGTCAACTAGCAAATTTTGGAAAAAAAATTAATTTAGCGAATTTATTAATTCGAATATTGAAATCGCATAGTGATCACAAACCGGTGATAAATGATGCCGAATCTCCACATAAATATTCGATTGCGGCCGATGTATCGCTGCATTCGCCAGCTCTTTGCAGTGGAAAGATGTTCTTCAAACTTTCAAAGTATTCTTCCGCTTGCTGTGGCGTGTGTTTTAATTGGGCTTAACAAGTAATCCAGAGGTACTTGAAACATTCAAAATGTTGCCTTTCGTCTTTGCCAAATGTGGAACGGCCAACGTTGATAACTCTATGACACTTCGAAGATTGGTGTCGATGATGCGATTGTATTCGGGCAAATCGAATTGCTTGCAAATATGCCCGCACTGTTGATTGACACGTCCAACTTTCCAAAGCGATTTATCGTCTCGGCAATGATTCGATTAGCGTCTTTTGTTATGTCCGCTTCGATCGCCAAAAGTGTCGGTGCACCGGAACTTTTAATACGTTCAGTAATTTCGTTCAATCGATATACGTTGCGACCAACCAAAGCAATGCACCCACCTTTTTTGGCCAGGTACTCTGACCAATTCCTGACTCGCCAATTCCTGAACTTGCGCCAGTAATTAAAATCACTTTATTAAGGAAACTCATTTTCTGGATAGAACAGCGACTTTTCAATGCCTTTTCTTTGACGTTCAAACATAAACTGGCTGTGTGACGGCAAAGTTCAACAATTTATTGGTTCGATAAGACGATTGTTCACAAAGTGAATATGTATTCAACGATTGCTTGTCAGGGTAACCTTTATTTTCTTTATCATGACTGTGCGATGATACAATTGCGATGCAACTTTTTTGTTTAGAACAAATGTATTGAAAAACCAACAAAACAACGTTTGATTACATGTTATCATCATTTTATTCGCGCATAAATGCAGATGCTTATCAGAAATCTCATTTAGTATGGGGAATCATTTGCAGCGATATAATATCTCCTAATACAGGGAACAACATTTGCACTCTTCTTTCAAAAATTACTCATTTTCAAAATTACCCATTTTCAGAAACAACGCGAACTGAATTCAGCCCTGAGCCCGTAACACAATCGCGCAGCCCATTTCACCCGATCCCAACATACAGTCCGTCTTCAATTAGTGGAGCGGCCACAATGGGATCCACCTTCAGTACGATCGGAAGTATATCATCACATATTGGCAGTTCAATTGGCGCAGCTTCAGCCACACCAATGAGTTCGGTTTCCCAATTAAATCCAACGTTATCTCCTGAACAAGTAGACCGGCTTACTAGAGCCGCCGATCGGTAATTAATCAATAATAATTCCTTAAATTCGTTTTACCACGAAATTAAATAAAAAAAAGATTTTCACCGAATATTGCTTTTGATGCGATAAGAAGGATGGTTTTTAAAAGAAAACATATTTTATCCATACATTAGATTGGCAAGTCAATATCAATTGTTGGACACAAAACCACAAAGCACGAAAAAGCGATCAACGAAAGAGATTGATGCGATTATCGCTCTGAGCGAAAATGATGACCGACGAATGTTTGGAATTCGAAAGTTTTCCGCAATTTATGGTCGTTTCGATTGCAAGCGTCGCCCCGAAAAGCCGCTAACACTTCACGAAGTGTGCGTGAATGAGGCAGCAGCACAAATGTGTAAATTTATACCAGCTTTATTGACACGACGTGTTGAATTATTTCCCCTGGCTCGCCAGGTTGTCAAAGACGCTGGCTTCGGACACTCAGCTGGTATTGCTCGCATCGCCATGAGGTAAATATTACAAAATAATCATCGCATGCAAAATTCATTTTTTCTTAAATGTGTTGTTCTTCCCTCAGCAGTCAACAGTCAACGTCATCACGTTCGGCCGAAGAAGAGATGCAAGCAAAACGAATGAGATTGCCAAGCGATACCAGCTCTGAATACAGCAAGGTATTGAGTCCGTCACATTGTCATGAACAATGCGATTGTGAACGGTGTGAACGTATCACAATCATCGACATAGATTAGAACAAATTGTGATTGCGTGCAATTCAAAATGCATTTATACGCTTTTACCGTCAAATTGCTTTCGATTTTACATTTTTTTTTGCCTAATTTAATTTGCTTTGCTTTGGTTTTTCGGCTCCTGTTTTCAATTCTATCCTGACTAAAATCAAACAAACAAAAACGCCAAATTTTTCAACTTGAAAGTCGTGATTTTGGCTAATCAAAAATGAAGGTACATTTTTTTCCAAATTTTATCAATGAATCTCGCACAAATTTGTTTGACTAAAAATCACATCGTTGACTAACCTCAAAGAATTGTACTAAAACCGATTTAATGTGTGTTTGTTACAGTCGTCAGCTGCACAACCAATACAAACTCACTACTATTACATTCCTTAGCACCTGAACTAACTGCTTCGCTTGTGGACTACTCAAAACTACCATGCTTGATGCAATTAATCTGTCTGTTCTTTACTTTTTCTAGCTTTTGTAGTTATTGCATGTACCAAAGATCTGTTTTGTTTGTGATATCGTGTATTGATTATTATTGATAGTGACATTATGCAATGTAGATGTAAGTGCTGCTCGAACCGAGAAAAAATTCATTGCGTTTGTATTTAGTTTGATAAAATGGGTCTTTTTTGTTGCAAATTCTATCTAGTAAGACTGATCAAATTTTTTTTTTCAAATTATTTACGCATGATATTTGCATGACAAAATATTTGCATTCTAATGATCTCACGCTATTTCTGCTAATAATTTATTTTGCACCAAGGTAAGCCGCTTCAGTATAACTTGCTCGCACTGAACAACTAAATTCCAATGAAATTGGTCAAATTTATGTATGAGTCATCAAATTTTCCAGATTGAATATTTGATTTGTATGCAATTATAGGAATACCACACAAGTGCCGAAGAAATGCGACACAATTTGCTGCAAATCTATCATAAGCTGGGCAAATCATTTGATGTCGGCGATATTGCAGCCCGGTTTTCGTACGTACTTTTTTAATTTTAACTCAAAATTTCCTTCCGTCTTTTATTCCGATTTTTCATCGGCAGTGTCGATTCGGCACAATGTATTTGTAAATATTATGAATTTTTGTCGATTATAATTATTTGGCTTCCCACAGTTCGACTCGTTACTCACGTTCCGATTGTGAAGATGACTCCCGATTCTCGTTCAGCAGTTCGAGTTCGCCACAGCTTCAGTCGTCCAATGGCGGTGATAACGATGTTGAAGAGGTGATAACGATGTTGAAAGAATCAATGAAATACATTTTTTTTTGCTAAAAAAAACACTTCCCAAAAGAAACGGCCAATATGTTTATACGCTGTCTATCCGCCGAAAATACACTACAATATATATTCACGCTTATCGGACGCCGAATTCAATATATATTCTAGTGTATTTTCGGCGTATTCTTCAGCGTGAAACATATTGAAACATATTCAGGCGCCCTCTGATGGCCATGAATGCATTCATTGATTCAATATGTTTCACGCTGAAGAATACACCGAATATACACTAGAATATATATTCAATTCGGCGTCCAATAAGCGTGAATATATATTGTAGTGTATTTTTGGCGGATAGACAGCGTATAAACATATTGGCCGTTTCTCTTGGGTTCAATATCTCTTGTGCTCCTTTCTCACATTTTTCCTCCATTCATTTCTCAAAATTCCAATATTTCAGGAGAATAAGATGTTAAGCGAAATGGTTCGATCGCCTGACGATGAAAAGGAAGTCACCGTAACCGCAAACATCAATGCCAATGCAAACGGGTCGTTGGGCGTGCGTGTGCTTTCAGCTTCGGGCAATAATATTATTGCAGTTGCCAATCCAGCACTCGCTCTCAGTCCGACACTCGTTGAACCGATAAATATTAAGCGAGAAGCTTCAGATGATTAGATAAAATATTTTTAAAATATAGAGCATTTTTTTTACATAGTCTGGTAAATGTGCGATCCTCAATTTTGCGAAATAATTTCTTATTTTAAATCATATATTTGCAAGTTTATTTTTCACACCAATGAAGCAGCCATTTTATCCTTGTCGTTTAGCGTTGAAACATGACCATTTTTTCAGTCTGACTTTTTCTTCTTTTTTTTTCATTCCAAATCAAAATCAAATTTTCTAGAAAAAAAATCGATTTTAATCCTGATCAAGTTTTCCTTCCACAAAAATGCCCTTTCCAATGTTAATTCCCCGTAACTAAGAACTAGTCGTTTAAAAACCATGATTCATTCATTATTGATTCATATAATCATTTCATCTTCCAATCGACTGAATGACTGGGGCTAATTGGCTGCTTTTTTATCAACTGAATGAGTGAAGTACCTAGTTTAAATGCAATAGAAACTTGAAATAATATTTTATGTGAGCAATCTAACCAAAAATAACACCGAAAGCAATAAAGTTTAAACATTTACAAATTGCCTTATAACAACTCAATTTCTATTATTGAAGTGAGAATCTCTCACGATGAAACAACATTATATTTTTTGTAATCAGATGAAAAAAGAATTTCAAATTACTGAAGTTGTCACAAAACATTTAATTCGCCGATGAATTTAGCATTGAAGCATAATCTAGCTGTCAGAAAGATTAACACACACATGCCTTTTCTCAATGATTGTATAAATAAATGAAATATGAAAACACAGAATAAAGTTTATATTTTATTAGCATTTGAAAAACGATTTCTATGAATTAATTCTCTCTTGGATCCAATCAATGAAATATTGAACACTAGTATAGACAGCAGGTGTGTCGATTTTTTCGCAATCAAATCCGTAGGAGGCAATACCAATTTGGTAATAACGAAAATCACCTCTCTCATCATAACGGACCGGCTGCAACAACGGGCTGCCTAAATCGCTTTGACAATCGCCTAAACTTCCACGAAAAAAGCCAACACAAAGTACACTTTTGTTGAATTGATTCTCTGATGCCAATTCGCCTTGTTGCCTATATCGCTCTTTACATGACTCATTCTCCAAAACGGTTAGTTGTTGTTCATATGGGAAGTTGGATGGTCTTCCATCCTTTTTTAACAGATCCCATCCCGCAAGGAATGGACGGTAATTAACGAATGAACGACTGCGAATCGGATCATTGGTAGGCAAACATGTGGGTCGTATGCGCGCTGTGAATCGGTAATAAATGCGATTTGTACAGAAGATTCCATTTTTTTAAATGATTAAAAATTTGTGTTCTTTTGATTTTTGCAGAGCGTGTTATGAACTGACGTCAGCTGCTGATATAAGCTGCGTTGTGTTGTTTTAACGCATTTGTAGTGCAAAATTCATATTCCTTTAGTGAAAGGGAAACGTTCAATTATCGATACACATTCTATTTTTGAATTGAACGTTTCCCTTTCACTGAAGGAATATGAATTTGGCACTGCAAATGCGTTGAAACAACGCAACGCAGTTGATATCAGCAGCTGACGTCAGTTAGTGCTGCGGACATCAGCTCATAACACGCTCTGGATTTTTGAAACAAAAGTAATATAATTATATGTATATATAGCGTACGACTTACGTGAAATATGAACATCTCGTTCTAAATACAAAATTGCTATATCATTTGTACCATCTCGTTCATTGTAATTGGGATGCCGTTCTGTTCGGATCACTTTCAAGTCTTGAACACTTGCATCATACGAGCTGAAGTTATACTCGCCCAGCCTAACATTAACCCTGTATAATATCATTAAAGGGTGATTAAAACCAATTGAATTCAAAAATTGAAAGACATTCAATAAAAATGATATTACAAATTCGGGGTAGCACATCGAGCAGAAGTTAACACATGCCGTGTTGTTATCAATGAACCACCTTGAGCATAAAGAAATTATTGATTGATTATATTCATTACATTGATGAAATATATTTTGAGTGATTTAACATTCATTTTTGGGTTTTTCTTACCGCATTTCCATGATGTTTCCCCGAGATTATCTGTATAGCTAATCAATGCCATCCATGGAAAAGCACCTAGCCAATGGGTAAAATATTTGGTGCATGAAATACGATTTCTGAACCACGACTTGTGGTGCTACACGAACAGTTTTCTTTCAGCAAAACATTTCCAAAGGAACATTGGAACTCACCCAGTCTTGATCGCTTCTTATCGCCACTTTTCAATCGCAAATTTTGATTTGAAAAGCCACAACCTTCACTCGGTGTGAGTAATCGCCCTTGAATACTGCTCTCTGTCAATTGATTCCTTCTGCCATCGGATGGACAGCAAACAAGTGGTTTTATATGGTCGCAAATTGCATTAGACTGCCGAATATACTGTCTATAAGAATTGTCATAGCTTTTGCCAACCAACTCGTTTAGTACGGTCGAACATTCTTTTATATGTTTGCAAGCACCTTCAAATTGATTTGGATCCTGACAAAACACTGTCCCTTCATCTAGTAAATCAAAGAATGGAAGATGGAACAAATTGTGAGCTTCAATAAATGTGAGCAAAGCAATTCTAAACAATGGAACAAAATAATCAATTATAAACAATGGAATCGCGGCGTCATTTTGTGGATAAACACCTAAATTTGTAGGTAATCGCAATTGCTTTCGATCCCACCTGACCGATTCGTGATATTTGCTCTTGTTCCAAAGTCACACCACTGAAAACGACTTCAAGATTTTGTATGAAGATCTTTGGCTGAATGGTTATTGTTAACATATTTTTGTGCCGTTCTCGGAATTGGTTGGAATTCAGAGATGACTTTAGCGCACCCAAGTGCGCTACAGCGCATCCGAGTGTTTGTGTTGTTTTTTTTGTTTTTTTCTTCGTTATACTTTACCTTTTTGGTCAAAGAAACTTTGTATCAATATTTTGTGTAACATAACAAAGAACAGTTTTTGAAAAACCACATTTATATTAGTAAAATATGAAGAAAAAATCCCCAAAAGTAGAAATTGCGTAATATTGCGAAATTGAGCCAATGCGCGTAATTACTAGGTACATATGGCCACACAATGCGAATACCGGGAGCAGAAAATGTAAGCTCTTCTTCGTTATGTTACACAAAATATTATTTAAAAAAAAATCCTGGCCAAAAAGCTAAAGTAGAACGAAAAAACAACAAAAATACGCGGGTACGCTGTAGCGCACTTGGGTGCGCTAAATTCCTCTCTGGGAATTTTATATGACGAACTTTTGATGAATGGTTTATCACTCTTTCGGCTTTATATAACCTTTGCTTACCATTGTAACCGAACTAAAATAAAACGAATTACATACGTAATCCAAACTTTTCCGCTCCGCGGCAATTTGGTTTACCCCCCGCTTAGTATTTAACCAAAATTGCAATGAAAACTCTTTTCATAGCACTTCTGAGCTTGAAAAATAACTATTTTGACCATTTTCTATATAAAAATATCATTTTCGAACAGAATTTCAAAAATTTCAAGAAATGTCGGTTTTGGACCAAATTTATGGGCAAGTAGGTGCTTGGTTGTCCGAAGGTTCCCATTATTTTTGCAAAAAAACATCAGTTTGCCTTGACCAAAACCCTAGAAAATGGCTTTTTGGGTGATTTTTCATACAAAAATGTCTTTTTCAGAGAAAACTTCAAAAAATGTCGATTTTAGGCCAAATTTATGGGCAAGTAGGTGTTCGATTGTTTAAAGGTTCCCATTTTTTTTTTGCAAAAAAACATCAGTTTGCTTGACCGAAACTCAAAAAAATGGCTTTCTGAGTGATTTTTAATACAAAAGTGTATTTTTCGGAGAAAATTTCAAGAAATGTCGATTTCAGGCCAAATTTATGGGCAAATTTACGCCAAAGATTTCGGCTCTTACAGATCTCAATTATCTCGTCAAATTTTTGAGATATCCGGTGAACAAAAAACGCGAACGCGAACGACGTTCGCACATCGCAATTTTACACATTTTTCATAGTAAACAACATTTTTTTGGGGGCAAATAGGTTTTGATCGATAGGATTTCATCCCTTCTACTTTGCATAGTGTACAAATATGTGCTTTTTTAAGCTTGGCGCGACGTTATAGTGGTCCGAAAGAGAAGATGTCATGAAGTGTTGTGTAGTACCAACCAATATTTTACCTAAAAACAAAGTTTTCGGAAAAGTAATATGCAAAATATTGACGTATTCGCTCAAGGTCACGCAGTGAATCAAACTCGTGCGACACAACATTCGTTTGAACTTTTGTGTGATTTACCGTGTTGTTATTTCGATACACTGTCACATCAAGAATGCTTTTTGAGAGAAATTTTTGGGTTCATTACGACTCTTGGAATCCGAATCAAATGTTTTGCTTGAATGCGAAGTGTCGACGAACTAATTTTCGTCCAAAATCGTATTTTGTTTGAAACAATTTTTAGCATAATTTTGAATACAAAAAAATTGACACCTCATGCGTGAACAGAAACGATTTGAGCTCAGAATATTTCATATTTATTCTAATACATCACTTTTGCAATTTGAAACCAACCTCTAGCATTGATTTTGATCACCAATAGAAGAATTATGCTCGCAGCCACAATCAAAAATCGATCTGCCATTTTTAAATTAAAAAAAAATAGTTCACACACTACACAACAATTTATTTGTAAAACAAATGCACGTGCATCTACAGTTGTATCACTCTGATTTACACTGATTGAATGTAATCACCACAGTTAATACGACCGAAGTTTGATCAGTATTCGTATGTCGCTTGAAATGCGCGAAACCGAATGAAACCGCGTTTGGTCATCGCTTGCGTCGAAACGCTGACAGAAACTAATCGACAGAGATCTGATTAGCATTCGCATGCCAACCTACCGCATCTAACGACGTTCAACCATCAATCGTATGTTCATTGATGTATTTACGTTCATCCGTAGAAGTGAGGCAGGCTTGTTGGTACAAAAGTTGCGTTGTTCGATTTGTGCGAGGTGATTTTTTTCGAATATGTTTGCTTGTTTTGATATTTTAAAATAAGATACAAGAATTAAAAACCGTCTTTTTGCGAAACTTTACCTCAAACTTTAAAATATTCATTTATTCAATAGATTTAAAATAAGTTCGAGTCACTGAGAAAAAACGCAAAAATGAGAAGAAATAAAGTCTTTAAATTGTTCTGAAAATATCATGCTTAAAATGAATAATTGTCATTGTTGTTGCGAATTTTCGTGCGATATGGAGTAACAATCGGAAGTTTCTCTACAATCCAATCGATGAAATGTGAAACGCTAGTGTAAACGCCTGGTGTATTTGTTCTTGCACAGCCAATACTATATGAAGCCAAGCCAATTTGATAAAATACAATTCGTCCATCATCAACACGAATTGGTTGCATTAATCCACCTCCTGAGTCAATGTCGCATTGGTCACGTGTTCCATTTAAATTTCCCGCACAAATCACAGATGATCCAAACTGAACTTCTGAAGCTAGTTTGCCTAGTTCTCTATATCGTTCCTTGCATTGTTCATTTTCCAAAATTAATATAGATTGTTCTGATAGAATATTCGATGGTTTGGAGAGTCCACTTTCCTGAAATCGACCCCATCCAGCAATGGACGGCAATGCCTTACTTTTCAACGGTCCATTTACAGGCAAACAAATCGGTCGAATACGTACTGTAATACGATTCAAAAAGAAATATTGTAATGCAAATTGGTAGTGAAAAAAAACTTTTTCATTTCGCAGCCTTAGTTTATTGGACTCACGTGAAATATCCACGTTTTGTTCAAGGTATAACAGTGCAATGTCATTTGTTCCATCTCGTTGATTATAGTGGAGATGTGGTGTTGATTGAATCACCGTTACATCTCGAATGACTCCGTCCGTCGTTGAGCTGATGTCATGTTCACCCAGTCGAACGACTGACCTTCATATTTCAAGGAAAATCGATTAAAATCTCCTTTCTTATTAACATTCAAATCGTTAATTTATTCTACGTACAACGTTGATGTGATGCAATGTGCAGCGGTGAGTACGTGCCGGGTCGTTATCAATGTGCCGCCTATTTGTCAGAAAGATTGTTCAATGATTTTGCCGAATAAATGAATCTTCATTAGTTTTACCGCATTTCCAGGATATTACGTCCGGACTGTCTGAGTATCCAATTAATGCCAACCATGGAAAAGCGCCTTGAATTCAAAATCAAAACAATTTTTCTTGAAAAATTTCTTTAAAGAGTTTCTACCATTTTACAATATTTCGGTCACCATTTAAACATTCAATAATAGTTTTTACATTAACCAACCTTTAGCCGACCGGTTACTACCAGCAACTTTAGTGTGTGGTTTATTTGTTAATCCGCATCCTTCTTCAACACTGAGCAAACGTCCTCTAATTCTTGGATCAACTGGTTCAACTGTTTCAAAATGTGGCACCAATTTTTCATCGTACGGACAACAAACGAGTGGTTTTACATTGTCACATTTTGTATTTGATTGTCTTATGTATCGTACAAAAGCACTATTATTACCGCTAACGATCAATTCACTTAGAAGTCGCGGACATTCTTTGATATGTTTGCAAACACCAAACAAACCAGATGGATCATTGCATGGCTGATCTGTTAATTGTAAACCTGTGATAAAAAGAGAAAATATTGTTATACAATCGATGATGAATAGATGCGTAGAAATGAATCCATTTCAGAATTGAAATGGACTCGAAACTGCGATTTTATTGATATCAAAATATATTGTGTGTTCCGCTGTTGCTATTTTTAGCGAATGCATAATGTAACAAGCAAGTCTTTTTATAGAATTCATTTCACGACACCCATAAAATCCGATGTGTATTTAAGAATTCATGAATAGCGACAGTGCTTTGTTTCAAGACCACTTAATCAATCAAACTAGTTTGGAGTTCACTTCAATTTTGCGTATTTTCCCATGACGCGGACCAAATGATAAGTTATGATTCAAATAGAACTATGTTCAGTACCAATTCTAATGCAAATATTTCGCTCTGGACACAAAACAACTTCAAATGAACGATTGATATTTTCTAGGGTTTCTTTAGGACACAAATATTTCGTAATTTTTTTTTGTAGTAAGCTAACCATTAGCGTTGATTTCTACAACAGTAGTGATGAAAAGAATTATCCTCAACGTGAAGTTAAGTGGTTTATCCATTTTTTTATTAATTTGTTTTCAAACACTCAAAATTATCACAGCATAAACAAGGGTTTTTTGTCTTTATTCCCTTTATGGGAAATTATTTACGAACAGATCGAATAAAAAAAAATTCACAGATATCTGATGAACCATGTTTCGATCGAAAGATGCGCACAATCTAGCAAATACCGTGTATTAATGTCAAAATATTAAAAGAAACTGATCGGTAGGAGCATGATCAACAATCAATAATACGTTAACTCACCGCAACTAATGACGTTCGACCATACATCTTCTCCGGTTGTTTACAAAGTGGCTTTTTGTTTAGTCGTAGAAAAAAGAAGCTTCAAATGTGCTGCAAGCCGGTTGAAACGATAGTGAATGCTTGGGATTTGCATGATAATCATAAATATGGAAATACGCAATCAAATGACCAACACGGAAATAGCAACGGTTTTTGAATATAGAATACCGAAATTCTTTCGAACTAATGAAACAAAAAGCATAAAGAAACGAAAGAGTTCCCATTCATTCATGGCATTGTGACTTATTTCAGAATTTTTTCGGCTTTGATTCAAGTACAAATAAAAAACAATATTTATTGAATATTTCAAAAATTCTTTTCGCAATTAATGATGTAAATAAATATAAAAGTTTGGGCTTAAAATTAAATCTAGATTTGCATCTATTTTTAAGTTGATCTTCACGGTATGAATCGCACAATTTTATAACTAATTAATTTATTGACTGATTTTCTCTTGGATCCAATCGACAAAGTGTTGAACGCGAGAATAAACGCCTGGCGTATTTGTTCTGGCGCACCCAATACCGTAACTAACAATCCCGATTTGATAGTAATGGAATTCAGCCGTCGCTTCATTTCTAATGGGTTGCATCAATGGGCCTCCCGAATCACCTATACGTAAATATGCAAAGAATTGTAGATTAATATTTTTGAATCTTATTAACAATTTAATCTAATCAAAATCAATTTAATATTTGACATGTAATTAAGTTCTGACATAATTTACCTTGACAAGAGTCTTTACCGCCTTCCAAGACTCCTGCACAAATGGCTGTGTCACCAAATTGTTTCTCTGTGATTAGTTTACCCTGTTTTCGGTACTGTTCTTTGCATTCGAAATTATCGAGGATTGGCAATTGCAGCTCTTGTAATACATTCGATGATTTTCCACCTTCCTGCAGTCGGCCCCATCCTGCGACGAATGGTCGATAATTAACAAATGAGCGGCTTCGAACTGGCTCATTGACTGGCAAACAAACTGGTCGCACACGATCTAACAGAACGAAAATTTCAATATTTCATCAAATTAATTGGCAAATGCACACAATTTCGATATCATTTTAATGATTAATCGATGAGCTCACTTGTGAACGCGCTGACATCTCGTTCAAGATACAAAATTGCAATGTCGTTTGTTCCATCACGTTTGCTGTAGTCAGGGTGTCGTACGGATCGGATAACCTTAATGTCTTCAACATCTCCATCGGTTGTTGAACTAATGTCATGCTCCCCCAGTCTGACCAGTGTCCTTCATGTTTTTAGTGAAAAATGATTGAAAATCAAGTTTTTGGCTATTAATATTGAAATGTTGTGAATTTTTAAACAGTTCAACATACAAGGTGGATGTGATGCAATGCGCAGCAGTGAGTACGTGCCGTGATGTTATCAGTGAGCCGCCTGTTAAACGAAAGAAACATTGATACATTTTTCCTGAATGAATCGAATTATGTAATTCTGAATCATACCGCATTTCCAAGACTGATCACCCAAATTGTTTGTATATCCAATCAATGCCATCCACGGGAAAGCGCCTGCATTTCAGAATTAAAACATATTTTTTTCTCGTAAATCATCATTTTAATTTGAAATTTTGACTTGAGCAAACCTTTTTTTGACGTGTTTCCACCAACAACTCGATTGTGTGTTACATTTGATTGGCCACACCCTTCATCTTCGGTGAGTACTCGTCCTTTGATAAATGGAGTGGATGGATTATCTGGCTGAACTGATTTATTTTCATGTGGGCAGCAAATGTTAGGTTGAATATTACGGCATTTTGCATTTGAACGTTGAATGTATTGCACATAAGCCGGATCTTTGCTTTTGGCAATGAATTCATTCAAAACTGCTGGGCATTCTTTGATATTTTTGCAAATACCTTCCAAGCCGTTTGGATCGTGACATGACTCATCGGTTAGTTTTGAGCTAGTATCTGGAATAAAAGGTTGACTTGTTGTTCGAAGAGTTGTTTGTGGTGTTGGTGGTGTAGTTCTTTGCGTTGTGACTTCGGGTGGAATTTCTTCCGGCTGCTCAGGCTGTGGATCGAATGGTTGAGGCTGAGGCTGTGGATCGAATGGTTGAGGCTGAGGCTGTGGTTGTGGTTGCGGTTGCGGTTGCGGTTGCGGTTGCGGTTGGGGCTGAGGTTGTGGTTGTGGTCGATTAATAATCGGATCACCACAACAAACAAGCGGATTTCGGTTAAAACTTCTAGTGCCACAATTTCGTTGCGCTGTCAACAGGTAATTGATAACCTGTGGATTGCGCTGATTTTGGCCGTAGAAATTCACCAACGAAGGACATTGCGGCAACACTACACAAGTACCAAACGAATTATTTGGCGTATAACATGACTCACCTAATCATGCAACCAATGACAAAGGACAAAACCATTAGAATAATATTACGTTTGCACAAAAATGTTGTAAATGTCTAAAATAATGATGGATATCGACGAAAAAAACTCAAATTCTACAGTTCGTCATTAGGATTGGAATTAGTATTATGTGCACATGCTCAACAATCACAAATGGAACGAGTTTATCAGATATTGTTTATGCCAAGGTGCGAAAATAGTACGACATTTCAAAAATGCCGCGTATTTTAGCTACAAAATGAACTCCACTTCACATTGATTTGCTATATACCTCAGTGGCGCTAGTATCGTGAATGGGGAAAATTGACAGCTCATCTTCCGAAACATGGTTTATGCCGTTTGACATTTTTCGTCTGACTGACTTTCCGCACGCAGTAAATAAAATATTTATATACAGTTCATTGTCTCCACGAGCCACTGGCTATGAAAACGATTTGTACTCATTCGAATGGATTATCATTCGTAGGTAGACAAAATGTTGAAAAAAGATGGAAAGAGAAGGCAGACCTTAATCTATAACGGATGATTTAAATTCAGAAAAGTGGTCTGTGTCTTCTTTGAGAACGGCATTTTAGCAAGAAAATCCAGAAAATTAATTCAAATTCTATGATCGTTCGACTGGAAATGTTCCATGGTTATAATAATTTCAGTTCATAACCAGTTTTTGAAATTCGTACGGGATTCCCCGCGCGCGAGAGCCAATAACAACACATATCACACTATACAACGAACATTTAATTGACCGTGAATGTGCGATTAAAGCATTGCCGATTCTTTCGCTGAACGAACACAAAAGGCGGAATATGTATTAAAGTTTACGAATTAGAATTGAATTATGAATCACAAAGTAAATTTCACACTTTAGAAATGGATATAAAAAAGCGCCGTTTCATTAACAACGATAGAGATATTCGCTGACAGTTCCCATGTTACCAGAGAAAATAAGGAATTAACGAAACAACGTTATTCAAAAATAAAATTAATAAAAATCAAATTCATACATTCAAAATCAACTGTCACGGGTGTATTTGCCACGAAATGCGAATTGGACGACTTATTTCATTGCGAAAAATGTTCAAAACGAAGAAAATCAATTGAGACTATCAACCGAAACGAAATTTGTCTCGAGTAAGTCACAAGTTGTCACATTATCGGTCGAAAGCCTTGTCTATTCCACTAATATCCGACAAAAGCGTTTGAGTTGCGTTTGTGAGTGCTTTTTGTAGCGATCAAGTCAAGTATATAAACAAACGATCGTTGATATGCAACACTTGGCGCTTTTTTTCTCTCTCATCAAACTTTGTGGCAATATGTAGTTGATTCAAGGTCACGCAATCAATTAAACCTGTTTCGTGTGTCTGCCTTAATTTTGTGTAATTCAATGTGACGTCAGTTAGTAGCCGAAACACCGTTCACGAAATGTGCAACAACAATTTGCTGCTCAAGTTAAAATGTTTCACTATTGAATCGATTCCCAGACGATCGATTCACAGAAATTGGCCTGGAGAACGTGTTAATTTGAAGGAAGAAAAGATTCCAGACGACGAACTTTTTCCACACATGCCTAAGTACTGAGTCAAAATTGTTAAATTTCCAGTATCACACTGACCTTGTGCATTGATTTGGGCTATTTGCACAATAACCAAAACTACATTCAACGTTATGAACAGATATTTATTTCCCATTTTTCGAAAAACTTTACTTCTAACAATATGAGATGTGTTTTTTTCTATCACAGTTTCACTTAACCAAAATTCCACTCTGTTTTCGGTAAAATCACACAAAAATCTATTTAATCATTCGATTAAGATGCACGAAACCGACGAAAAAGAGAACAGCGGTGCGCTTATTGATTTTTGCTTGCGTCGAAACGTTGAGATAAACTGATCGGTAGAATCTTGATTAGCAATCATTATATATCAATTCATAGTGCGACTAAACGATCGCTTCGACCGTTTATTCGATTCGCTTGTTTGCTCACTGGCTCTTCGTGCGAATGTTGCCTTTGGTCATGGTGGCATACACACACTACACAGCAAGATCATCAGTGTGGTTGTGTTTGCGGACACAAGTAGCGTTAAGCGCCGCCACCGCCGTTTATTTATGTATGGATCTGCAAGACGGCTGATCGTTACGTGAGCGCGACACTTGTTGTTACGGTGTTCAGACGACCATTTCAACAAATATGCTACTTGAATTGATTTACGGCATCTTCGCATGAGACTGCGACCTCTTGGATTATTCAGAATTGTTTACAAATGCATCATGCAGCTGTCACTCGGTCGCATGATATTTCGTTTTGAATCGATTGCCAAGTGGTCAGGCTGTATGTACTAGTAGTATGTAGGTGTGATGACAATCAATGCATACCAATTTTGTATTTTGAAATACTTTTGCGACTTCTTCTAATGCCACCATTTCCGTCAACTTCCCAAGAAAACAGGTTGAAAAAACATCAGTCGCGTGTTTTTTACATTTCGTCAGCGTTTGAAATTTTGCCAAAATTTATTCTCAAAATAAGAATTCGCCTAAGTAAATGTCGTAATAAGAGAGGAACTGTGTTGATTGCATCTCTAATTATTAGCATTAAAATAAATGGCCACTTTGTTAACAGCAGCGACGACTCACGATGAATAAAAAACGTTTTCCCCAGTCGTTATAAAAATAAACGTCGCAATTCGCCATTTATTATGCACATATTTAATCGTAAATTATTTGCATGCTGTGTTCATAATATGAATGAGAAGATGAAATATCTAGTGAAATATGCGGGATTTAGCGAACTTTCTGTACGTGCACTTTATTTTAGCAAGTGATTCACATTTCGTATCAAATATTTGTGATAGAAAATCTGATTGAAAGAATTTATTCTTAGTAATTTTATTATAAATCATCGAACTAAGAAAGTTCCCACAGTGATTCACATTTCGCAAAAGTCATTTTGCGTGTTTTCGTAAAAATCATGCAAATAGAATGGACATGGACAACGCATATGCTCGCGCCATAGAATAACATTTACGCAATTTTTCCAATGATTAATCACATTTTTTGGATATAATTTCATGCTCGTTTGATTTAGGTTAGGAAATTGTTTGGGCCAAATGAAAAATGAAAAACATTAGTCAAATCAGTTAATTGCCGTTAAACTTTTTTTCACTTTCGAATAAATGACGATTTCACGGCATTTTGCAACGTTTAGTTGATTATTATCGGACACATTTTGTGCAGATAATTTGGCGGTTACATCACAGTAGGAAACGCCGTTTGTTCTGAAAAATGAATTCATGACACGAACTGGGAAGCATTTATTTGCGATTTTGTGGCGCAACAGTTTAGTTTGTTACAGTTAGAACATCTTTGTATGAGCGGGTTTGTGGTGTTGGACACAAAATAATAATAGGGCGTTAAAATTAAAGGAGAGAAATAGGAACCCAAAGAATAAATCTTCTTCTGGATAAAAACAAAAAAGACAGAAAGTTCGATAAAAGCGAATTTTGTGAAAATTGCGTGAAAATCACATGAAAATTATGAATTTAATAAGTGTCTTCTTGGCAATAATAGCGTCAGTGAGTGCAGGTAAGTAATTCCACATATCCAGTTTACATGACAATCATTTTTGAACGAGTTTCTCTAGTGCAAACATTTTGTTGGGCCAAAAATAATTATAATTGTTCTGATTCATAGTTGTATTACCTTGCATAAATGACATAAATCGAGTGTTTTTCCTAAGGTTATGTTGTGTTCTTGATATCAATTTGTGGGAAAATCCAAACATTGCCGCTTTTCAGTGTTCAAAGAATCGTATGTGACTTATAATCAACGGAACGGATGCGTGTCAACTTGATACTATGGTATGTTTTGAATGCGCTATGCTTCGTTTCGCTTAGCAAAGTCCGCTAGACATCAAGGTCTTCAATTCAACCGTTTTAAGAATACCAATGTGACGAGGTGAACGACTTGGTTTCAATCGCGTTTATAAATTACAGCGGAACTATTTACGTTTCGTAATTAGGATTTGAATTGGATTTAGGCGACAAGACTTTTTGACCCGTTGTACTTTAAAAACAATGTATTCTTCTTAGTGAATTATCCGTAGAATTTATTCCATTTTCGAGTCTATTAATAGAATATTTTTTGTGATAATTTTTTTTATTTCTATAGTCAACAAATACATTTTCTTTGCATAACAGTATTAGATGAAATGATCGTTGTGTAGTCGAATCAAAATCGGCACCTCATCTGCAAACATATTGAATTTCGTTTGGTATTAAATGATGGCAATCATCATGAGTATGACGATCATTCATCGTATGAATGCGTGAAAATTTCACTTCTCCAGCTAATTCGAGACACATTATCGGCTGCACTGGCCAATCTCAATGATAGAAAAAACGGTAATCCAATGCTCTAATAATTTATTGTCGGGTTTCACAAAAATATTTAAATGTCATGAGTTTGATTCGGCGTGAATCACAACAAAGCAATGAGAAATTTGTTCCAATTACACACAAATGGTTTGAAATAAAAACGAAAGGTTTTCTCAAATTACCCATTCAATTATTTCATCGTACAAAGTGGACTTATTCGCACTGAACTTTCACTTTCACAAATGATAAGCAAATAAATTGGATTAACACCTATCGAAGTAGCTCATTTGCCCGATTAACATCGCTAGTGAAACAATGTGTCTCTTGTGTTTGATTTATATTTATTTCGATTAAGTGATAAATTGTTCTGAAAAACTATCAAAAGATTCATTAATTAGAAGTCTGATAAGATACTATTTAATTATTTATCAAATAAATAAAATATATAAAAGATATTCAACTTGATAATTAAAATGCCAACCGCCGGAGTGACCAAGTTCGTATTGATAATGATTTTATATGAATCGATCGTTCACGCTGAACCAAAGTTGGACACACGAACTGATATGTATTGGAAATTGTGTTCAGTATTCAAATTTTCAAAGTTTTGTTTGCCATACATATGGGGAGCATATACTTATCCATTAATCCCGATTCCTGGTGCCGTATTGCCGATTGCGCCGTATCCATCATTTCCATTGGTAGTTAATCCCACAACATCTTCTCAAAGTTATACAATTCCGACCGTTGTTACAACTACAACCACAAATCGTTCGCCTACCCCACAAATTCCACAGATTCCATCCGGTGTACCTTCACAAGTCATTCCATCAATTGGTGGAATCAATCCATTGGGCCCTTGTCCGCCAACAGTTTCTATTTGTCCGCCAGCGGCTTTGACAGGTCCAATCGATCCACGGCAAGGTATTTTATTCATTCGTTCAAACGAAGACATCTGTGTGCATTTTTCGTCACCGATTTTTGCTGAAGAATAACATTCGAACATTTATTCAAAGGTGTTTTTCGACAATTCAACGGCTGCCCTTGCATGGATCCAAGGGCAATAAATGCACCAGCTCCAGGAGCTCCGTTTCCCGGTGGCCCAGGTGGATCGATTCCAAGTGGACCGATTCAAGGTGGATCAATTCCAGGTGGACCGATCCAAGGTGGACCGATCCAAGGTGGACCGATCCAAGGTGGACCGATTCCAGGTGGGCTTCAAAGCGGCCCTATACCTGGAGGTCTACCTCCTCCGGGAGCGATTCCACCAGGAGCTGGACTTCAAATGGCGCCTCTTGCAAGACCAAATCGTGCTGCTTCGCTAAGTAAACTGGAATAGCAATCTAATGTAGTTTGGTACTTTCATTAACAAATGTGCAAAATTCATCTTAGAAATTAATCAGATTCGAGTATTCTTTTGGCCCAAGAAAATTTTCGTAACTACCGATCATCATTTGATCACCAAAATTTGTATAATCGAATAAAAAATTTCAAAACGATCCGAATGTTTACTCGTTTCTAGCATACAATTGTGATTTTCATGATCATCAATGCACACGTTTAACTAGCTGCACATATTTTGAGAATTTAATTCAGAAAGGTGTCGATGCATTGACAGTTGGTCAAGAGTTAAGGAGACTGTTTTGCGGTTTCGATGGATTCGATATTTTGGTATGATGAATTTGTGTTTTTTTCCAATATTTTGTAGCTCAAGTAGTCTAAAATGTTGAATAATTTGGTTTTAGATTTGTTGCCCATTATCCAGTCTAAACCATTCGTTTTCAACAATTCCACCGATGATTGAAATACATCCAGCGTACGATGATGGTTTTGCAAATAGTCATGGCATTGTTTTTGCCAGCATGAATTCTCACGGTCCGATTTCGCAGCCAATCCCAATTGCACCAAGCCACATTCCAAAACCAGGGGATTCTTCGTTACAATCTTCTGATGTTAACAATGTTTTAGATTTCAATTCAAATTATTCGCCATACAACCCAGTTCCATCACCAGTACATGAAGTACCAGCAAAGCCTCAATCATCATTTTCGTCATCTGGTTTTACTTTTGCTCCGTTACTGGCGGCAACTTCACTTCCGGCGTCATCACAACCAACCGTCAACTCCACCTCTTATCAAATGAGTATCATCAATTCGATGATTCAAGAAGAAAATCACAAACCGTCATCATCAACAGTGCCATCGGTCATACAACAATCGCCAATTTCAAGCCCAAATCATCAATATTTTAGATCCCAATGTGGCATCACCAATTATACGTCATCACGTGTCGTTGGCGGAACAATCACTCAAATTGGTGAGCAATGTCGAATATTTCAGTTGTTAATGACAAAAATGATTTGTCGTCTGTTTTTCTATTCGATTTCACGCGTACATTTTGTAGGTCAATATCCATGGATCGCTGCACTTGGCTATAGCTTACCGAATTTAACCACAAATGGACTACAATTCTATTGCGCTGGATCATTGGTAGATTTTTTTTTCGAAACATAAAACAATATACAGATTAAAAAAACGTTGATTGTTTACATAACAGATAACAAGATCGCACATATTAACATCGGCACATTGCATAAGCCCTTTTTTGCGAGTCGCGAGGTTAGGTGAATATGACTTGTCAAGAGAAAATGATGGAGCGAACCCAATAGATTTCGGGATTGAACGGACTATAGTTCATGAAGAATATTTGCCCGATATCATTTTAAACGATATTGCCATTTTGAAGCTGAAACGTCAAGCTCCGGTTAATGGTGACATATCAATGCATTGAACGTTCGAAATCAAATGTAAAACTAGAATTGTTTTTCTCAGATAAAATTCGACCAATTTGCTTGCCATTATTCGAACCACTACGTTCAGCCGATTTGACCGGGTATACGCCATTTGTCGCAGGTTGGGGATCCACATTTTTCCAAGGGCCACAATCATCAATTCTACAAGACACACAAGTTCCGATCGTTTCAACTGGCGAATGTGAAAAAAGTTACAAAGCCATATTTTCAACGCAAGTTTTTGATAATCGAATCATTTGCGCTGGAAATGGTGCACATGATGCATGCCAAGGTGATTCTGGCGGTCCCTTAATGGTTTCAGTAAGTATAATAAAATGATTTAAACAGGATTTTGTGGTGAAAATCAAGTTTTTTCAGGAAATGTCCGATGGTGATGCTGGTTTCCATTATGTATTAGTCGGTAAGTTCATTTACGAATTTTTCAGATTTTTCAAATAAATAATGGGAAGACGACTGGTTATTCTGTTTCATATTCAATTTTTTTGCTCGTATTCTTGTTTTATAAACTTTTAAGGAATCGTTTCCTATGGGTATGAGTGTGCAAGAGATGGATTTCCTGGAGTCTACACGGTGAGTCACTTATAATAGAATTTTTTTTAAACGTACAGCAAATTATCTAGTAAAATGTTTACTCATTCAAATTTCTTGGTAAAACAGAGAATTTCAACATTTCTGCCGTGGATTCAGCGCAATTTGTCATGAAAAACCAGTCTCCCTAGAGTCTTACTCACATTAGTAATAAGAAAATATTTGTTATTTCATGTGTACAGAACAAGCGGAATAATAAAGTCGATTGAACAAAATAGACATTGATGTAATGTGTATGTCATATGATGAAATAGTTTGGTATGGCTATATTCGGTTGTTTGTTAAAAAAATAAAAGGGGGCTCGTCTACGATGACGACAATGACAAAAGAGCTTGCGGGAAGTTCAAAGTCTTCATTTAATTTGCTGCGAGACATTTCGATTTTGCCTACGAAAACAATTGATGCATTGTCGCGTGGCGCAAAACGGTTCGTCAAAATAGCTCATGGATACCGTAAAAATGTCACCAAATCGCGCGCGAATGACTCCGGAGCAAGTATAAATTCTTGACCAATTTTGCATCTGCAATCAGATAGACATCAATCGTTCAAGCTTGAAGAATGGCCTCACATATCGCTCAAGTTTTCATTGCCATACTCGCCATTGTACTGCTGAATAGTTGTTTTGCCCAGGTAATGTGAAATTGGTGCCGACGGAGGATAGCTATTCTATAAACTAGTTTTATTTAAAGTAAAAATGAAATTAGGAACATATTATTCAAAGAACGAAATTCATCTCTTTTTTGTGTTCAAAAGAAAGTTTTTTACCAGTTAAAAAAAAGTTGTTGCCAAAAAAATTCAAATAAACCATTATTCCATCCAATCAGTTGACATTCTCCCCTAATTGGGGTAAACGAAGTGGATCCAATCAATTGGATATCGGAAATTCAGCGTCTCCAAACCTCAACAACAATGATAATTCCATTGGGGACTCGGCATTCCGCTTTGGAAACGTTCGTAATGTACCAAGTATGAACGGAAACAATTGCAAACCATCTATCGATTCCGTAATGCTTATCTATCGCATGATTCAGGTTAAAACATTTTTACAGTAGTTCCAAATCAGAACTTCTAATTTGTTATTTCAAAAATTGCAGCGAAAATATGATCAAAGCTGAAATGAGTAGTTTGAAGCGAAAATGTTGTACAGAAAAGTTGGGAGGAAAAATTTCAACTATAGTTTACTATACAATTTACTATATAGCTATCCCTTTTCCCATCATCGACATTTTTCCGCTCAACTTTTCTGTATAACGTTTTCGCTCCAAACCACTCAAATCCAATTTTTTTTTCACAGGCCGAAGCTGAAAAGCTCAACGACTGCGATCAGAAATAGAAAGACGCAGCTCTGAATGCAACATCTTCAATCGACCACAGCGATTAAACACAAAATATCAACTTGTCTAAATATCAACCAACAAAATTGAAAAATAATAAATTGAAATGGATGTCTTAATATCAAAATTTTAGTGAAAGAAACTCATCATTGTTTTCGATTTCATTGCAAATGTGAACGCAACTGAACCGATACTTTATATTCTCAAAACAATAAATTCATTGATGTGATTGGCATAAGCGCAAACCGAGTGTTCTATTTGTGAGGAATGTTGGAGGAAAAGAAGAAAAACAAGTGTGACGGAGTTTGGTTTAGTATTTTTAATGTTGTATTTCTTTATTGGCTTAAATGTCAGATTTCTCTCTTTCACATCCCTGTGAAGTGTCGAAACAAAGTCCAAGTGATGCTACATTTGGCTTTGCTTCGTTCAAGAATTTGGCAGTTTTCGGTTGAGTCTACAGTTATTTTTTTTTCGTTCTAAAGTGTAAATGTTAGGTATAAAATACTTTCTCTCTATGTCTGATATGACACGTATATTTCCTTTTTTTTAATTGCACGCGGTCTATTACATGTTTGCTGATTTGATTAATTTTTTTATACAAGTAAAGCTGCTTGTTCTTGAATATGGACATAAAATGGCTATTCTGTTTTTTTTGCGATATCAAATCGCACACACAATTTATTTAAAATTTTCATTGTACTTTCTTTCTCAAAATATTATCAGGTTTTCTAATGAAAAATTGTGAAAAAAATAGATTAAAAAAAACAATTCGATTCTACAAACATCGAAGAAGGCACGTCTATATCTTAATTTTAGGAAACGCGATTTTTGTGAGGTGCAACAATGAACACACAGCTCTCATTTTCAAAAAGGAAGCTGTTCCAAAAACAAAAGTACAATCAAATTGTTCATCAAAATACAAAAGATGCAAAACAAAGGGTATGCTTTCGATCTACATTAAGTTACTTCGTTGCATTGAAAAGAATGACTCCTTTCGATCGTTTAAATAAATTAATTAAGTGGTTGTTCTTTAAAACATCAAACAAAATTAAACATAAAAAAGAATGTGAAACGAAAAAAAAATTAGGGAAAAAACATAGTTGGGTACAACCATGACACATGGTCCATGTGTAAAAATAATAGAGCTAAATCTCATTGTAAAAATCAATGTGAACTGGTAAAATGGTATGAATCGTTTTTTTTTTGGCCAGAAGGATTGATGTCTTCTGTGCTGTTGGTGGTTGGTGGTAGTGGTGTGTAAATACAATGAGGATGAGGCGAATCGGAATTGTGTGAATGGTCTTTCGCTGGTTGTTTCTCTCTCTTTCTCTCTTATAAAATGCAACACTTTCTCTTCGATTTGCGTTTGTAGTTGTCTTCAACATAGGGCCGTTCGGCTATTTGGAATTTGCGAATGATACGCACGAGCTCATGGAACGCTTGGTCCACATTGATACGTAATTTTGCGCTGCACTCAATGTATGGCATTCCAACGGAGCAACTGAACTGCTGCGCTTCCTCCAACGAAACCTATTTTTACACGAACGAAAAATAATTTATTAATTGAATATACATACAATTCCCAATTGCGTATCGCTAGATTTACCCGTCGTTGATGTTCCAAATCCGATTTATTTCCTACCAGCAACATTGGAAATTCATCTCGATCCTTAACGCGTAGAATTTGTTTTTGAAATTTACTAATTTCGGCAAAGCTATTATGATCTGTCAGCGAATAGACGAGCAAAAAACCTTCACCCGATCGCATGTATTGCTCACGCATTGCACTGAATTCCTCTTGTCCAGCTGTATCGAGAACTGTTTGCGAAAGAGAAAAAAAACGTTAGTTCGTTGATAAAAATAGAAATCAATAAAAAAGGGCATTTTTAAGTGAAAATGCGGAAACATTTGATTCATGGCCCGCATTCAATCGCATATGGCTGTCGTAAAAAACAGTCCATTTCGAACGCGATACAAATGTGTAACACAATGGATTCTATTGATTTTATTCAATATGCGTGCACGCAATCATTTGTTCAATTGATTCTTTTCACCAAGGAAATGCCCATTTCATGGCACAGAGGAGGGTGTATGATGTCGTTTTATCAAGTTAATATTCGATAATTAATGACGTTAACTTACTATCCAATTTAGCGGGTACGTCATCGATAACACACTGTTTTGTGTATGAGTCTTCAATGGTTGGGTCATAGTCCGTAACAAAATAGCTCTGGGACAAAAAAAAAGAAATAAGAAAAAGAATTGAAAAACAATGAGAAACAGAGGAGAAAATCGAACATAAAATTAAATATTCAAATGATTGTCGACCAATATTTGATACATGGTGTACTATGTACTGTTCATTGTATGCGCTTTCTTTACGTCAGCCATCGAAACGTAGATAAACAATCGAATCGGTAAATATAGAGAGGATTTTCAGTGGTTCGCTACACCAGACCGACTATACGCAATCGAGAACAGAATGCACAACAGAAGAACGAACAAATAGAAAATACACGGATACACACGAAGCAAAAGATAAACAAACCGCCGATAAAAATGAACACTAAAATGCCAGATGTTGATTTTTTTCACCAACAAACGAATGAACACGAGAAAATGTACAAATGTTTTTCTACTTGGCGTGCTCAAAGAGATTCAAAACGAACGGGTGCCTTTTACGTCGCGTTGCTACGGCTTTGATTTTGAATTGTCGGTACAACAACTGTGAATGGTCTTGACTCGAGAGTGAAATTCTGAAAAGTAGAGAAACTGTTGATACTATCAACTGTTTGACTAAATTTGGACTGGCCAAATATTGGATGTACACATATTATCTTTCATCGTTTAGGTGATTTTATCGATACGATTGCCACGAAATTCCACGAATATCATTAACGTGAAAAGTGATATGGCTTCGTGATACATGACAGCATCGAAACTAGCTCTACTACCTACAGCACTTTTGTTACATTAAAATTTCTTAATAAGTTGTTGATTGGACGGGAATAATTATATTTGTTGGAGGAGTAGTTCGTTCACTCTCTTTCGTTTCTTTGGAGCATAGAAGAATGAGCTTACGTGGGCACAACAAAGCCCATCTAATCAAATACAAATAATTCTTTGCTTTCCAATTAATTAATTTTTCTGTGGTTGTTGTGTGCTTCAACTCGTGTTGCTATGTTGAAAACATCTCAACTTACGATCAAATATTTACGATAGAGTTATGAATTACACGTGCAGGCCGACACACACACACACACACACACGCATGCAAAACCTCCAACGTTTTCAATACGCATCCGTACAAATGAAATCGTGGCTTCGGATGATGTTGCAAGTGAATGTACACTCAAAAGCGTTTCGCCTCTTGTGATGAGTGATGAATGATGTTTCTCCTTTAAATTGCAACCGAGCGAAGTCAAGCACAGCTCGATTTATTCACAAGAAGCTGCAAATAAACAAACAACACAAATTTCTCACACAAAATGAGAAAAGAAACGTACATGAATCGCGCGAAGCGAAGCCTTTGTAGTTCCGTGGACATTGAGGCCCGCGCACTCGCACACTCATCGCAAATTGTCGATTTCAGTTGTCGATTTAATTAGAAAAGCGCTATAAAGCCAAACAAAAATATCGCATCATTTGCTAAATGAGAACAACATGAGCGCATAGTATATAAACATCAACATCGGTCATTTGTTGCTGTGCGTTTCGAATGAACTACAGAAGAAAAAAACGTCTACGTATTGTAGCTCTATCCCGCTGACGTCATGTTTGCTCATATGGAATATGGAGTGTTTGCCGCATTTAATTTGCACTAAAGGTGCTGCTGGCTTGTTGCTTATCGTCTGTGGCTCCAATCGGCTAGTAATGCTGTGTGATTTATGCTAACCGCTCCATTCAATCAGAATGGATTTTGATAGATTTGTGGGAGTGTTCGTAAAATAGCATAACATCGGATTTGTACGCATTTCCATGCATGCTACCATTTAATAATAGTAATACGACGATGACGACGACGACGGCGATGGTGATGGCGAAGAAAAAAAAATTAATTATGCTAAAAGTGGTTTATGTAAGCGTTGAATGGCGCGCGCCACGCACGTCGAATTCAAGGCAATAATTTTTTCACGTTGGCGTAAACCACATCGTAAGAATCGATTTTATCGAAGTATTTTTGTGTTTGTACACCAAAAGACAGAGAGAAAAGGCTGTGACATCAGTGTGGCAAACGCGTCAATTCGGATGGCTGGCTCTGAGTGAGCAAATTTGGGCGACAGGTTATTGAAAGAGATCGTAGAACGGTCATAAACCAAGTACAAACGCAAAATTTCATTTTCAAATCGCCTCCAACGAAAGCATCACAGCGTGTGAGTTTATAAATTTTGTAAAAAGCTGATGTATAAATTTGTTGGGCGCCAAATGAAGGACAAGGTTATCAACCGAAAAATTTATCAAGATATTTTTACGGATCGCAAGTTCTATTTTCATTAGGCAGCCACCAGTAGACGCCGCCCAAAAATAAATCGTCTAAATCTCTTGTCGTGCTGATCGAGACGACAAACGAAGAAGGAAGAATGAAGAATGAATGAAAGAAAAAATCTCATTTGCCATTTCACACTCAACACAAAAAAAACGAGCAATGAATATTTGTTGTAGTGTATTTTTCTTTTTCAGTCATATGATCTCAATTCAAAAGTGCATTTTAATTCATAACTCCGGAGGAATGAGAGCCTGACTCTATGTTTATATAGAAATGTTTCAGCACATCAACCTATTTTATTGCCTCTTATTCCTTTTATATCGCTCGCGTGATTCTCCTTAGATCGGCATTTCTTCATCGCCACCAAACAGTTATGGTGTATTGGTCTTGATTCATGTTGCCTTTCAGGCAAATCCACTTTGGGCGCAAAATACTATATGTGACACGTTCACATGATCTCAATAGATGTTCGTATCGTTGCCACTGTTATAAACACATCTCTCAATATTTATTCAGACAAGAGCGAGAAAAAAAGCCACAACTAAACGTCTCAATTCTGTTGAACATGTTTTATCTTTTGAGTTACGTAGGCAGAGTAGCGTATTAAAACACAGGAGTTGAATATGAATGTATAATCAATTTTTTTGCTTCTTCTCTCTCTGTCTCTCTCTCTCAATCTTTTCTCAGCAGCACCCAAAACCGTGGCATATGGCGAATCTTATTCCATTCATCGTTTTCGTATTTTTTGCTTCTCTCATTCCTTTGATCAGATTCGTCTTTGTCCCATACACACGCACACACCGCGACTCAGCGTTGCAATGGAATAAAAATGCGTTGATTTCATTTAAATAACGTTGCATTCACTCACTTGTATGAATTGAATTGTTATTGCTGACTTGCCTACACCGCCTCCCCCGACAACAACGATTTTATACGTTTGGGTGTGACTCGATGGTCCAGATGATTGATTATATCGCGACATTTTCTCTCAATATTTTTATTTTCTCTCTCCTCGATTGAATTATCACAATCAAAATTTTCAATGGCACTTTTTTCTTAACAACCACTCTTTTCGATTGTTTCACACTTTTTTTGGAATTTTCATACACAATTTATCCACTAAATGCCACCACACACACTGCGATCGACTAAAATCAAAACATTTGTGTCGCTTATGGGCTAAGGCACTTTTTCTTTCTCTATACTCGACCCGAACGTATCGCTCTTACTTCTTTCAGTAATTCATTAATACTCGCGCTCAGCGATCCTACGGTGCTATTGTCGGCAAATACACTGAATACTATTTGAATCTTACGATTGAGTGTGTGGATATGTGTATGAATGGGAACCCACCAGCGTTTGTGTATGTTTGAACGTGTAGTTCGGGCAAATGTGATTGTCAATGCATGAGGGCGCTGTCAGTTGCGAGGAGAACGATATCAAAATTGGTATTAGTTTTTGAATAGGTTGACAGTGCATTCGATTGGGTATTGATAACAAATTTTCTTGTATACTTTAGATGTTAAAAGATTTAGAAAAGGTATCTTCTTAAATGAAAAAAATTATCAAGGGTTTGTTAAAGCAAAACTTCATCGTATTTTCATTAAATGGAAAATAAAATTCGAATTTTTCATTGAAATCACACGGAAACCGTGCCTTAGCACCACAACATCTGACCAAAGTAAACATTCAAAGAAACTTTTTCGAAAAATCTTGATCATTCATCAAACTTTTGAAATTTTATGAAAATCAACTGCAAAAATTCATTGAAGATTTGATTTCCCCATTTTTTAGTATTATTTCAAACTCTCATTTGATATGAAATCCAAATACTGTCTCTCTCGTCACACAACGAATTGGTTTCGAGCGAATTCAAACCCGATTGGAGCGAATTCGATGGCAACACCGAGCATCAACTGACATTTCACGCATACAGCTCAGACTGTAGACACTTGCTAAAATTGCATTACTCTCCAAAAAAAATGGCAGGAGTATGTGTGTGTGGTGGTTGCTGTTGTTGTCGTTGTGGTATGTGTATGTGTGTATTTGTTGTAGCGTTGTATTGGCTCCATTGTGACAGTGTACAGCATTTGAATATGATCGAAATGCCTTTTGCACAAAAACTGCGTGTATAACTCAGAGAATACATCTTGCTTTACGGATTCGGTAGGGAAGAGTGTGTCGTCTATGAATAAAATAGATAAAACTAAAGTCGAATATTATTTGAAACGAAAACAATTGCATTCCCGCATCTCGGTCGCCGTCAAAATACGAAAGAAATTAAAGATATTCGAAGCAAATAGAACGTGCACGAAACATTCATAAAACAACAACGGAACGAGCGCACGAACGAACGAAGTTCATTGTTGCAAAAGTTGGCAACGAGTGATTCCAATTCAAAGTGTATAAACAAAAATTTTTTACCGATATTTTTTTTTATTATTTTTGGTTTTTAAATAAGTGTTAATGTGTGTTAAATCCCACTGCGATTTGATTTTAATTTTGTTTCTATCAATTCCATCTGTTCAAGAGAATTAAGTGGTTTGTGTTTATACAAATGGAGTAATGAGCAATATCATATTCGCTAGAGACCACATTGAATGAAACAATAATACACACCAATCATAATTGTAGTGTTGTTTTTTTTTTAAATATTATTATGCTGAAGTGCTCTTACCTCCCCACGAATGTGTACCGAAGCGCTGTTTAATGCAAAACATTACAATTGCGGAGGCTAGCTTATCAAAACTAACACAAATACAAGACGGAGAAAAAAAAGAACAACAACAGATTTAGCCACATCGAGAGGAAGAGCGACAAACAAATCTTTGTCTATCAAAGAAGATTGTGTGACTGGTGACGGAGGCAAAATATCAAAAGAAAACACAAATTCAATGGAAAATTTAGTTCAATATTTGTTTTAGCAAAAGAAAAAAATCTTAATTCTCAAGCCGTTTTCCATTGCATCATTTTTTGTTGTTGTTGTATTTTCATTAGTTTCGCTTCAATTGTTAAAAATCAAAAATCAATCCATTTTGTTGTTTTTTAACGCGTACGACGATTCGGTAGGAAAAATGTCGAAAGAATTGGTGGTAAGTGTTAACACGACAAAAAATTATTATCTTTTCATGTCTTTTTTTTCTGCTGCTGCTTTTTCTCTGAATTCCGGTTCATTGTTAGTGTATTTAGTGCAAAGTTGAAGCGTTAATATTCTACGAATACCAATTCGTCATATTTCTACGTAAATTTGCGAAAGAAAAAAACCCACAGGCACACTAACCGCAAGAGAAACCTTTCTAAAAAAAAAATCATCATCATCAAAGAAGTTATCATCGATCCGACAAAAAAAGAAGAAATGTTCGTCGGTGCGAATTGAATGATGCCGAAAATTATGCGATGCAAAAATGTAAACAACTGTGTGTACTTGAATTCAGTCATTCAATTTGCGGAAAATTTCGAATGCCATTCTTTTCGGAAACGAACCATCAAAATGGTGATAGAAATAGTAGAAGCTTGAATATAGCAATGCAACCAATACGAACTCACAGAATATGAGCGCAAAATGTGTACCAATAACGAGACGGAGGGATAGAGAGCGAGAGAGACGAGAAGAAAACCGAATGCATGTGTATGAGTGAGTAAGTGAGTGAGTGAATGGACTGCAGCCATGTGCCAAATCAAAACAAAGCTGAAAGACGCTACAAAAGGAACTGTCGAACAATCGACAGCAACGAAAGAGAAGCAAAAAAGCAAACCATAAAAGCAAATAGCCATTCGGCATTTCGACAACGGCGAAAATCTAGGAATAATTTCCTTTTTTTGGACAATGACCAGAACAGCATCCGTAATGAATGGCGAATTGCGCGTTTTTTTTTATGCAAATCACCACCAACAGTATTATACACCGCGTACATAAAAGCCATAATAAATGAATATAAATCAATTGTGAATAAACACAAACAGAAAGCGAGCAGGAGTAAGAGCGAAAATAATAGTGAGCGAGTGAAAGAGCAAAAAAAAAGTAAAAATCAAATCAAACGCAGTGCGAGCGAACAGCGGAAAAGAGACATTTTCTCTTTACTTGATCGCTGTTTATTTGGTTGAATTTATGCAGTAATACCAGCAATAAAATAAATAATAAATCTCGATTCTCGCGGGGGGACTGGGCGATAGCGTGGAGAGAGAGACAGAGAGGCGGGAAGAGAGAAGGATATATACGTCTAAATAAATATCTCTCGTCAACAGTCATTAAATAAACAGCAAATCGTAAACGTTCCACCAAATGTGTGTGTGTGTGTGTGTACTGGTGAATTCACTTTTTAAGTGACATGAACGAAGCACATCAAATGAGAGAATAATTTGTTGTCAGTTTTTTTTGTGTACTATTGTATATCTGTTCGTTATCTGATTCGAAATGAGATTAGAAATGTTGCTAACTGGTTTCATTCATCGAATCAAATAAAGAAAGAATTAAGGAGAGAAAAAATACTGCGCAAAATTGGCGAAGCAATGAAATAAATTGTATTTCCTTGAACGCAAATTGGATTTCTATATATATATAGATTGCATTCAAAAGTCATTCTTAGAATTGGAACCAAACAAAAAAACAGCGAAATAGTTGATATCACCGTCTAGTGAATTCTCGTCTGATATGATCTTCTTTTTAACCAAAATATGGTGGATTTGGGGCGAAATGTGGCGGCGTTTCAGGCGAAATCATTTTCAATTTTTTTAGTTGGATATATTTTTCTGCTTCTCCACACAAAACAACACCATTATCGTATCAGTTTTGAACATTCAGCTGTGCGGTCACTGCTCAATCACAATTGTTGGGAATTGCTGACTCCACTCACCAAGCTGACACATAATTGAAGAGAGAAACACACAAAAAAAAGAGAGAGAGAAACAGCACACATAGTAACCGATTACTCGGTTCGGTCACACACAGGGTTCAGTTTTGGAGAAATCGTCAATGTAATTGTTTTCAAAGAAACCACTTACTGTGACCGGTCAATAAAATGGAAATTACTTTTTGCAAGAATTTAAACTGAAACAAAGGAGAGCGAAAAAGCAACCCATCCAATTGAAACAAAACACTTTGTAGATTAAAACCGAAGAAGAAAAAAAAACTAAACTAATTCCAAAAAAAAGAACTTCGATACCATTTTGTGCAGTGTATGAAATCAATCTTAAAAGTGAAGTGCGATACATTTCTTCGAATGGAATCAATTACAAGAGTTGTCTGTGTGAGTATCGAGTCATTACAATTCTCAAAAAACAACAAATTATGTGTGTGCAATTGAAACTCAGTGGAAACGTCATTGAATTCATGTTATTTCTCAAGAAAATGGTATATATATCTGACTTTCAATTAATTGACTGGCATAAGCAATTCCACGAAAATCAAAACCGTCTGCTCAGTGTATATTCTCTTCATTTCGATGGATTTGAATGCTTCAAATTGTTTTGATCAAATTGAAGCAACCGAGAGAAGAAAAAAAAACCATCTTCAATTGGGTCTTGAATTTCCATATAAAATTTCTTGAGTTGCACTAGAAATAAATAGAACAACATTTTGCCAGTTCATCTTCTTGAAAATGTACCGAATTACCGAAATTGAGAGAGTGCACCTATTTTAGGAAAAATCGAATGATGAAATTCCCATGTTTTTTTCTTTCTTCAACGCACAAATGAAATCTAATATGAGTGATTTAAGTGCGTAATTATTATTTCTCTACTGGCAACCGTCCATATGTGACACATATTTTGAGCCCATTATTCATGGCGCAGTTATCTGTATCGCTGTGATTTCTTTTTCATAATCTCAATTTAGCAACTCCTTGAAAATTACAATTTAAAAGACTTATTTTTTTCGAATTTTTTTTTTTATTTTTCCATTCAGTTGTTAAGTTCAAGTTGAAAAAATCATAGCATTTGTTCGGTTGTGTACCCACGCTTGGCAACTGATCCCACTTGAGGAAAAAAAAGATAAAAACAAGAGAGGGAGAGTAAGAAAATCATCTTAAAATTTATTTAATCACCAGCTAACGCCAAAAGTAAATCTTTGTTCACTTTTCGGTGTTCGCGAGAGAGAGGTTGTGTTTCCGAATCGAATGTGATAATTTATAGCTTTTCACTTCCAAACAATTTCATTCATTCAAAATGTAAATTCTTTTTTTCGATTTCGGCGATTCGGCAAAACCCATTCACAAACATATATGTTTTCATCTAAAATGAATTAATAAATAATGGATGGGGCCAAAGATCGGGTCGATTTGCATGATTAATTGCCGTTAGTTAATTGATTTCGGACGTTTGTCGTGACTTAATTTGCATAAGTCATGGCCAAAAGTCTCATTTGCTGATGCCAAACACCGAGAGCCGCCCGCATGGAATTCATTACATAGCTTAGTGATACATGTGCACAATGAATCAAATGAATTGTTTCTTTTCAATAGCGAGCATTTTTTTTTATCACAAATCCTATTGGTCCATCCATATTTGTTTTATCACTCTGCCTATACGTCACTTTGATTTTTATTTG